CCCTCGCTTGTCGTGCTGCATTTTTCAAGATTTCACCAGTGACGGTTGGCCTGGCCTGCAGATTTGTGCACGCCCCTTTCGAGGGGGCTGCGTCAGAAAGTCGGCTGCTTTTTTAGAGCATCCTTCCCAGCACAAGATACAGGTTGCATTAACATCCACATGCAACACTTGCAGGCGTAGGCAGCGTTCACGATATGAGAGAAAGCGCATGTGCAGACTCCTTGACGTCAACCATGCTGCTTCCGGTTCCTTCAATGTTTTCAGCAACAAGGATTTGGCAGGGACAATTAGGCCACCTCTGAGTTAAGTCAGACCGCAGTGCATGGATGATACTTCTTTGCAATGCTTGCGAGGATCAGGTGGACTCTGGTAAATGCCGGATGCCCAGTCTTTGGGGTTGCGATTCAGCTTGCCGTGTCTGCCAATTGACCAAATGCGCCAAAAGTTTTGCTCAAGGGAGCAACTGTTTTGCCAGGCAGTGCGATCCAAACCCTTGGCTTCTCTCGAATGTCCGGGTCCGAGGTGACATTGGAGAGCTCTTCCGTCAGAACAACCTGCTACCGGAGTTTGAGCTGCAGAAGGTGCCTTGAGTTGGGCAAGATGTGTTTGAAGAGCCAACCCCGGTTCGCGTGGGCAAACAAACAGGACAGACGTCCCTCTTTGATTCATGGGCATTTCAACGACCTTCCTTGCACGCTTGAAACACAACAATGAAGCAAGTTTTTGGTGGACTGCTCTCGATATCAGTTGTGACGCATGAGCTTGATGATCAATTGGTCAGAATAGATTGGATTTTGTGCTTGCGGGCAGGCTGTACCGTGCCAAAGCCAAGAAAGACAGAGAATGACGGAGATGTTCAACACAAATGGCCACTCCATTGCCAGGTGGAGCTCGCACCTCCGGAGCTTTCTGGTTTCGGGCGGCTTTACACCCTGAACGCGCCAGGCCCTGGGCAATCAATGGAGATCCGAAACCCGCACAAGTATTTTGAAGATGTGCTTGAACGACACTCTCCAAGTGGCTTCATGGCGTTTGTAGTCCTCCTTTCATGCCTTTGGAGTGTTTGGGTCCCTGCCTGTCATGCTTGTGAGCGTTGCAGGGACCAAGACCTTTTGCGTGCTGTGAGTATTGACAATATCCGGCAATGGTTGGTTGATTGAAGATAAGTGACACCCCCGTTTGCGGAAGCGCTAAAGAGAGTTAAGCAGCTTCATGGGCAAACCCGCAATCGTCGCACTTGTACCGGTCATGAGTGACGTGTCTTGGAGCACATTGAAGTGTTTCTGTCAATTCAGTCGTGGGCTCGGCTAGGGACAACCCCCAGCAACCAACAAGTAGATGTGTACAAGTGTGTTAGCGGGGTAAGTGGGGGCTGTTTGAGGCTGGGTACCATTCTCGCCTGGGATTAAAGGGAAACCAAAAGGCAACCGCACCATGTTCAGTGTCCTACTCTTTTAGGACCTCTCTATTGAGGAGACTGATTTTTAGGGTCCGCCTTTGGCACATCCCCCTTCGTACCCGCCGCTTGCAGGGCTATGTTGCCAAATCGCGGAGGAGTTTGCCGAGGTGGCGCTGCACTTGTCCTCGCCGCAGCAGCAGGGCTTGCCCGGGCGGCTGGGATCGCAGCAAACTGTTAAAAAATCCAAAAGAAAAGCGAAGGGGACGCCCCGGGAGCACATTTCTTGGTAAACCCTGGTTGATTAACAGGGTGCCCCAGTCTTCAACTTGTTTGGGCCGGAACCACCCTAAAAATTGGCGAGTTCCGCTGATGACTGCTTCCAATAGTCGAGCCTTTCCTTATGAAGAATCAGAGGTGAGAAAGGTGAATCCCTTTGAGTGATGTATCGTCTTGGGCATGGTTGCCTTTGACTGACGTGGCGCTTGGTTGAGACTATCAAGAGATTGTACAAGCAACCGTCTTGATTATTTGGGTGGCTTTGGTGGCTGGTAAGCATGAACAACATTTGTTTTGGGAAGTCGGCACTTTCTTTCTCTCCCTCCATATCGGTCTATTTCTCTTAATCTTTCTGAATCTTTCTCTTTTGCTTTCTCTTTCTCTTTCTCTCTCTCTCCCTCTCCCTCTCTCTTTCTTTCCTTTTGTTTTTATCTTCATCCTTTCATCCTTACTTTCATCACTTCATCACTTCATCACTTCATCACTTCATCACTTCATCATGTCATCCTTTCTTATTTCTTTGTCTGTCACATGAATTTGTTCTTGTGAGGAGGCACGATGTGAGATGAATCGAATGGGCAGATGCTGCTCAAGGTCGATTTCTTTTGGCCCTTCATTAAGTCAGTAGAAGCTGAGGAGCCTGCAGAAGAGGTCATAAACCAAGTTGCAGCTGTCTTCACTCAGTGGACTGGCCTTGAATTCCATATTGACTGGACAACCTCCGCATGTTGTGGACTTTGGTCCAGACGATGCGCAACGTCGAGGCCGCACTTGCCCGCGTGCAGTCGTCTCTCTTGACATGCGGCCTCCGAAATGCCAAAACTTTGGCGTCAGCAATTGCCCCCAAGCAAATCGATGTGCCGGACCTCCAGAAGCATCAGCTGCAGCTGGGGTTCCATTCGCAGGCCAAGCGCTCGAGTCCTTGCGCGCCCATACAGAAGAAGGCTAAGCGCCAAGGCAGAGAGCCTTTCGAGTGCTGTTGCTTGCTTGCTCATAGTCGCTCTGGGCGTTCTTGGTTGGCAAGTGAGGTTGGCCATGATTGCGTCTTTCTTTCCAGATTCCTTTCTCCTTTCTTTTGCATTCTTTATTTCTTGCTTTCTTTCCGTCTTTCTTTCTTTCTGTCTTTCTGTCTTTCTTTCTTGCTTTCTTTCTTGCTTTCTTTATTGCTTTCTTTATTGCTTTCTTTCTTTTTTCTTCTTCTTTTTTTTCTCTCCCCCCCCCCCCAATTAGAGTTCTGACACGTTTAAAGCGACATGGCGATGTGTCAATGAAGACATTGGCGGGCTGTGAATTGTTTCGGCAGATAATCTGATATTGAGGCAGATCAATCTAGTGCTTAGGCTCTCGATTCCACACCACTGCTAGTTTGCCGGTGCAGCTTCCTATTTTTGTGATTCTATCAGGCCCACGGGATTCTTTGTGAATTCCTCCTCGTTTTGGTAAGTATTTTTGAAAAAGTGTCGATGCTTAAAATATTCTTGTAAAAACAACTTCTGTTTGTAAGTCTGCAATGCATACTCTTTATCCTTACCCCTTTACAAGGGGTGGGCAAAAAGGGCTTAGACATTGGTGGCAATTTGGGCTTGCCCAGATTTGTCCCACACTGGCCATGTTGGACTTTGCCGCAGCCTAGGATTCCATTCATTTGGAAAGACTTTCCAGTTCCGATCTGAGCTACTGACATCGGGTGACATACGCATACCTGGTGGCACGGGTCGTGCCAGTGAATGCATCAGAAATCAGAAATCAGACGTCTGCCACTTAGCTTCGGGTGGAGGGGGGAGACACCCGGAGCCGACAGGTATGCATTGGGATGCCAAAGAGCACCTTGTTTCAGTAGCCCATCAAGTGCTGCTGTTGGTGGTTTGGTTTGTAAGATTATTGGTTTGCTGCCCCGAATGGCGGACTGCAGAGAACTACATGCGTCCAAAGTACCAATCAAGCGCTAAGCGAAGGTCTGTTTCCAAACTGTACAAAGATGCCATTGCCCCGCCGCTGCGCAGATAAAAAGGTTTTGCTGAGAGCGAGCTGAGCATTGTGTCTGAGCCCTACCAGCTGTTGGAGCCCGGGAATAGTTTTATGGCAGCTCCATTGCGGAGAATAGCCATCTTATTCTTGTTGACGGCTTGCCCAGCCCATTTGCCATACATCAAATAGTTGTGAGGCAAGTATACTGGACAGTTAGCCCGTGCCTTTTGCATTTTTCCACTCACATAGGATTCACACCTGATGTGTTGCTTTTGTCACGATGTCAGTCAACTTTCAGAGCGGAAGTATTCGCCGCATGCTTTTTCGGCATGATTGAACACTGAGGCTGGTTGGAGCAGCACACTGCCGCTTCATTCAATCTGAAGAATTCAAATGCTACCTGCAGGGGCAGGCGCACCACGATGCCAAGCACGGTACGCTGTTGCGCTGTGAGCCGGTGCCATGTCAAGGTGCCAGGGTGCTCCCAAGCCAGCGGGCAAAAAAAAGGGGCATGGTGCGCTTGCTCGACCTGCTCCTCTCCTGCTTTAGCTCCTGGGTCCCCCAACAGTGCCCTTTTACCTTCTTTTTCCCCAGATAGCTGAAAGCTATAGGGGTTCTAACTTCTAATAAAGTGAGGGAAGTGATTTGCGAGATTGACGGGCTGGTGCTAAGGGGCGTGCAGTTTGGGGTGCTGGTTTTTGCGGATTGGGGTGCTGTTTGAGGTGCTGATGGCAGTGCGGGCGCATCTTTTCAAGATTGACGGTAGCAGTTTGGGGGTGCTGGTGCAGGTGCCGTTTTGGGGGTGACGGTGCACGCGTGTTATTGCATCTTGACGGTAGGGTGCACGGGGGCATGCAGTTTGGGGTGCTGGTGCTGGTGGTGTTTTGGGATGCTGTTTGGGGAGCTGTTTGAGGGTGACGGTGCGGGCGCAATTTGCGATATTGACGCCCGGGGATCTTGACGGTAGGGTGCAAGGGGGCATGCAGCTTGGGGTGCTGGTGCAGGGTTTGGGGTGCGGCTGGGTGTTTGGGGGGGTGCTTTTGGGGGTGCTCTTAGGGTGACGGTGCAGGCGCATATTTGCGAGATTGACGGCAGGGTGCAGAGGGCATGCAGTTTGGGGTGCTGCTGCAGGTGCTGTTTTGGGATGCTGTTTGGGGGGTGCTAGTGATGGCGCGGGTGCTCGATTGACGGCCGGGTGCTGTTTGGGACGCTCTTCGGGGGGTGCTGTTGGAGGTGCTGGTGTGCAATCATTGCTATCTGGGGTCTATGCTGGTGTATTTTTTGCGGAGGGTTCTCCCACTAAAATCAAGTTACAGAGAAAAGGGTACCCTTATTCTAACCTCTCTACTGCAGGACCTAGGCTCCGTATGTGATCGACACGACGGCTCTCGTCTTAGCATGGCCCGAGCCTTCACCCTGGGCCGCGCGCCATGCGCCCTGAGCGGCCTGGGCCATCTGGTCTCGCCGGAGGTTCCGAGGCGCGCGCCGGCCGGGCCCGTGGCAGCTGTGGCCACCTGCCTGCACGTGCGCCAGCGGATGGGCAGAGGCGGCGGCAAAGGCAAGGGCAGCGGCAAGGGCAAAGGACAGGCGACGGTGAGCTTGAAACGGGAGGCAAACGGAGGGCTGAGATGGGGCAAAGATTTGCCGTGCTTGTGGGCCGCAAATTGAGGTCACAGAAAAATTCCCGGCTAGCAAGTACGATTCATAGTACGATTGGAGCATATGTTTTGCTAGAAGCTGCCGGGTAGGATCGTGTCAGTGACAGTCACAGGAGCTGGGTCGCAGAAGCCCACAGATGACCCCAACTTCGTGCGATGGTCCAAGAACATGCGTCTGCAAGGATCACCTTCAGGCGCCAGGATTCTCGCTCGTGGGAAATCAAGGAATCCCAATTTGAGATCTTAAATATTGTCTCACAATGATGGGTTCAGACGGCAAGGTGTCCTGATCGCACAGCTGGAGCACGGCCAGTGATGATATTTCTTGGGAGAAGTGCTGCTGTTGGGATGCGTGGAGCTTACCCAATGCCAATATTGTGCTATGTTAGAGAAACCTTAGCCAATCTTATGATTCTGAAAGGTTTTGAGCTCCCCGCCTAGTGCCCGCGTTTCAACGCATCACATGGGCATGTCGAGCATACGCCGTTCCAGCTGTACCCATGGCAGGTGCTGTCTACGTGGTGGAGGACTACGTGGCGAGCGGCTCCTTCAGTCGTGTGTTCCGCGTTCACGAAGCGAAGCGCTGGGGTGAGAGGCGGGTCTACGCCGCAAAGGTGATGCGCAAGGCGGGCGGCGGGGGTGCTTCACACGCGGACTTTGCGGGCGGTTCTGGGATCACTGACGTGCTGAGAATGTCTGGCGCAGCTGAGGCCTAAGGTCCCAGAGAACCTGTACTTGAAATGTGCTTTGCCAGACAAAATGAACCACTTCCAGCTCGCTGCCTCCTTCCCGCTTTCCGGCTCGATAGGAGGACTCGTACATCCAGTACACCTCCAGCGGCCCCAAAGAGGGCGAGCTCCTGATGCGCCTCGAGGCGGCGCAGGCGGCGCAGGAGCAGGAGGTGTTGACCATGCGTTGCCTGGACTCCTTTGCGACCAAAGACGACGCTGGACAGGAGCGACGGAGTGGCGCACGAACGTTTCAAAGGGGGGAAATCTGAAGCGGAGAAATCAAGAAGTCAGAGAGAAGCTGAAGCCCCTTGTCTCATGTGAGCCTATGGAGTCCCAATCGGAGCTGTTGCCAAGCTCGTTGCCCCTTTGCGACAGAGGGACAATTCCCCCGGATGCAAGTTGAGCAAGATTTGGGATTTCCCGGACGGGCAACTAGCGACCTGGCAACATTGGATTGATACATCTGAAATTGGCCATGTAGACTGCTTTTACCCGGATGCATGAAGAACAGCCTGAAGAACAGAAGCAGAGTGAACTTCCAATGCTCCCCATAACGCGTTTGCACCACAAAACGTGATTTGGTGTTGAGGCTTTGAGCCAATGCAGATGCATAGAAGATGCTGGAAGTAGTCACTAGAGCAGATGTGTGTCGGTGTTGGTGCTTGGCTGCTTGTGAGGAGTACTGGTGCCTGATCTTGGAATGGCTGGATGCATCTTTGTTCGACATTGTACGAGCCAATGGATGCTTGCCTAGAATTGGTCCGCTTTTGCCGCATTCCGACGCGCTGGCCACACTTATAGAAGTCACTCTAAGCGCATGTGAGCGCGACATTTTTGCGTAGATGTGCCAGTTCTGGCCAAGGCCATCGAGGACTGCATCTGTCGATGGTGCGGATCTTGCTGAGACAACTTTTGGAGCAGCTAAAAGTGCTGCAGGAGCTGAAGTGTACTCACACAGCTGCTCGGCAACTTGATCCTGGCCTCAGAGTTTGCGTTCCCTTCCGTTGATCACAACATATGGCTGTGGGTCAAAACCAATGATACCATTTTGGGGTAGGTGCACCACCCATTTTAGTCCTTTTTAGTGCGGATTGGGATGTTCACTGGGGGTACGGGATTTTGACCCATGGCTTCTATACATCACTCCGTTTGTGCGCGTATGCAACTCCGGGGTCGACATGAATGAACACTCCGATACCTCGTGACGTTGGTCTACGTGAGAATCCGGAGCTGAGGATATCAAGCACAAGAACTGTTGCTTGGCCAACACCGAGCACTACTTGGCACCCTCTTCCGGAGGGCCAACGACGCTTGCCAATGTTGGCGATGCTATTCCTGCACTCAGCATTTGAGTTGGTCTGGCTTTGAGCCTATTCATAGCACCTGGAGGACCCTTTGATACACAAAAAAGATCTCCGGACAGTTTTTCGGCATTCGAGCGCGTTTTTCTGCTCAAATCCAATTCGAGAAGTTTTTGAGGTTGCCTAGCTGCTTTGGGGAAATGCTCGAGAGAAACGAACCCGCAACTCGAGCGCAATTTCCCGCTACTCGGGCGCAATTTTCCGCAACTCAGGCGCAATTCCAAAACGTGTGCAAAGCCAAAGCTTTGCCCCGCAATCCGTGTGATTGCACGTGTTTGCATGTACAATTACTCGCGCACTTATTTACTACGAAAGCTTGAGCAAACATTTGTGTGTCAATTCCTGCAGGCATGTATTTATATGGTTCTTTCTATTTTTCACTGCTCCGCGAAATGTTGACAACGATTCACCAAGCTCACGAATATGCATCATAGATCGACACGGCCAATCCGTCGTGAAGCCGCATTCCAAGTTTTTGTTCGCCACTTCCCTCAAACATCAAGCCACCAATTCTTGACAGGGAAATTGGCTACATTGCAACTTTCCATACCCCATCCCTTGTTGCTGGAAACTCTCTCAGGCAAAGCTACATTTTCTGGAGGGGTTTGGTCAGGATAATCCTCACGCAGCCCTTGGCAAAGTTCATAGACTACGGCAACGCCGTGTTCGAGGGCGACAAGAAGCAGGAGCCTCTGCTTAGGGAGGCTGAGGTGAGAACTTGCACATTTGGAAAAGGGTTTGATTTGGAAACCGGCCGCCATTGCAAAATTCTCAGGTTGAACATGATCAGCAACCTATCTTGCATTCTTCACGGGCTCATCATTTTGGGTATAGCGCACGCGGGGCAAGGCCTGAGACAATGAGGCGAATGAGCTCCCAACATTTCTGCGGGGTTACAACGGGGTTTCCAAGAACACAAGCCAGCAGCAAGCAATGCCAGCACATGCGCTATGCTCATGACTGAGGCCGAATTACACAGCAGTTGCAGACTCGCTCATTTGACGATTTGACACGTGGGAGTCAACTGAAAAAGTTTGGAGACAGGTCCCCACAATGCGCTGGTTGACCCTGACGCAAGACAGTCCCAGTACACCTTCAGGCCACACCCGATTCACACCAAGCAGCCCGTACCTGAGTCGCCTTCGGGCCTTCGATGAGAGTCTTGAGACGGGAGTTTGAGGAGTTGTTTGCAACAGGTTTCCCTTTCTGGAACCTCAAAAAGTGGCAGTTTCGGTGGACACCACCAGTAAGTGGATCGACTCTTGAAGGGGAAATCCAGCGACCCCTGAGGTTTCGTGCGCCAGAAGTCCTGCTCAATGTCCGGATGGGCGCCGCGCCCGGAAAGGGAAAGGGACTTCCGCAGGCATGCAAATAGGGTCTGAAGAGGGGCACGGACGTCCTGTTGCCACTGCCTGGGGGCAATTTTGGGGAGCACCTCCTTCGGATATTTTCGTAATGGAATCAGCGTTCAAGTCAGGAAAAAGACAGTGATTTGCCTCAACATTCTTGGTCTGATGGACCCAGAACCCACAATTCTTCCGCAAGGCCACGGGATGTTTTCAATTTGCGCCAGTTTAGATATTACAATCTGGTGCAGGTTTTATCACATGGGCATCGCGAACGTGCAGTCACCGCTCCCCATTGCGACGTACCGTTTTCCTTTTGCAAGCCTTCTTGATTGGCTAAAGATCCGGCCAGCCTTTGTTGCGTACGGGTCTGTCGATCTTTAGGGCCCCCCCAAAATTGTGGTTTTCCTTTCAATTCGTCCTTAGGGACGCCCAATCCTTTTAGTTTTCCTTCCAAACCACACAAGGGGTAGCAACTCTTTTAAAAGAGACGAGCCATGTTGGCGCAGGCTGGGGCCCGGCCAGCGACACCTGGACCTTGGGAGTCACTGCAGCCTTCCTGGTCTCTGGGCAGCTGATCTTCAATTCCCATGATCCAACGGACCTGGGGGGGGGAGGAGTGCTTTTGAGGTTGGTTTGAAGAGGGATGAAGAGGGTCAAACTGGCTGTGGGTCAAAACCAATGGTCCCATTTTGTTTGGTTTAGTGGGGATTGGGATGTTCACTGGGGGTACGGGATTTTGACCCGTGGCTTCTATACATCCCTCCGTTTGTATTGCGCGTATGCAACTCCGGGGTCGACATGAATGAACACTCCGATACCAAAAAGAGGGACGCTCATAACTCACTGAAGTCTCCCTAAAGGAACAATACTTCACCGGGGGAGCGGAAAGGACGAAGACAGGGGTGCATGGTTTGCGTAGAGCCATGAAGGTTTGATTTTGGAATGCCATTGCTCACATTTAGAATGGTGTGTCTGGGCATTCTGCAAGAGCGATATGTTTTCTGGTATATCGCAGCGTCTCACAATTCAGTTGAAGCTTGAGCAAGGATTGCGTGCTGAATCTGCAGTCTGGTGTGGTTGAAGCCGCCGCATAAAGCTGCAGTGTTTTTATACATGGCATGCCCACGCATGACCCATGCGCAGGGCTTTGTTCAGACTTGTGTGTGTATATGTCTGCATGTGTATATAAATATGCACACATTTAGTTTGCGCAACAGGTATTGCTGTTGACCCCGGATTAATACCCCGCTGCTTGTTCTGTGGGTGTTCCTCTCCAATAGTGGTCTGGAGCCCCACGAAAACCAGGGAGAAGCACCCCCACATTCATAAACAGGGGTTCTGCTTCATCCGGGGCCAGCAATGCATTTGGGTCGTGTCATTTCGAGTGGGAAGGAGCCCAACCAAGCCCTACTCAAAAGGGCTTAAGGGCTTATTTCTCCCTCCCCCCCCACCTCCCTGCCCCCCAGCTCCCATTTTTCTAGGGGTTGATTCCTTTTCCATTCTTTCCAACCATCGTTCTTTTCCAAAACCGATCGCTATTTCCCCGGTTTCCGGAGGTTTTTTAGAAAGATTCGGATCCCTTGAAAGAATGGAAATGGAAGGTACCCCTAGAACTGTTCGAAGTATTTCGTATAGATCCCTTCCCTTTTAAAGCATGGACCCTATCAACAATACTCTCTTTTTTTGGGGGGGACCCTACACTTTTGGGTTTTCTCCCCCACCTCCCTCCCCCCCCAACCCCCTCCCCCCCAGCTCCCTCCCCCCCAAGCTCCCATCTCGCGTTTTCTCCCCGGAAACGGATCCGGGGATCCATCGATATCGATCCGCTCCCTCAGGAGCTCCTGCGGCTCATGCGCCAGGCACTGGGGCCCTTCCCGGCGCGGCTGCTGGCTGCGGCGCAGGACTCGCCGCCTTCGTTTGGAGGCATCCCTTTTTTGGGAACGCTTCCTTAAAAATGGAAGTGGGGAGGGGGATGGAGGGTGACCCCTGGAATTCCATTTGTGGTTCCATTTTCCCTTTTTATGGGGAAGACTAGATAAATGGAACTGGGGACCCCCCACCCCCCTCCTTCTGAAGGTAGGGGGGGTGTGCTTCACTTTTGGCGAACGGTTTCTGGCAATCTGATATCCGGGGTTTGGCAAACTAGATGCAGATATCCATGTCTTTGTGCGCACATCCATGAGTACTTAAGTAAGAGCAGAAGACACATGCTGATGCCCAATGCTGTAGTGATGGTGACAACATAGCAAATGGCCACTTGGCAAATAATCATGGAAGTGGACCAAAGGATTCCCTGAAAGGAAGCTAGCCTTCCTACACTCTCCTGTCAGCTTCCATCTTGTCAGCAACCTGGACCAGTCCAGCTATCTCAGACCCCATTTTCCGCCATGCCTGCCATTTGTTGAGACCTTCCTTACGAAGGACAATCGCATGCGCAAGGCGGCAGAGCTTGCAGAGGCGAATGGCATGCATGGCCATGGCTGGTGCAGGTGACGGCTTTTTCACCCCAGTTTCCATCTCTTGATGGCTGTGATACGTTTGCCATGCAGCTCACCATGTCTGTCCAACTGCACCAAAGTGGCAAGGAGATGGGCTGGGTTTCTAAGACTACATTGACTACCCCCAAACCACTGCCCCCAGAAGCCAATAAAAAGGTTATATAAGGGTTATCAACCTGGTTGAGCTGCGTCAGTGAAAGCCATGTCTGAATCGCCAGGGCGGTGTGGAGCCACAGCTCGGCAGCTGGCTGAATCTGGCCAGGCTCTGAGGATCTGCGCGGAGAACCCGCCGAATGAGACCAACAGATTCCTAGATGGGTGTGGTTGTCAAAATTAAACCACCAGGAATTGGACCGCAGGTTGTAGTCCAAGTTTCCATTTACCAGGGTAAGCCATCTTGGGTACCTATTTTTGACCCACAGCCAGATAGACGGCAAGTGCAAACTCAGGGTTTCGCAGTAGCAAGGCCACAGGAGGATGGTGGTAGCATGATACCTGGCATGTTCCTGATACGCACATCTGCCGAATCATGGACCACATCACGAAGCCGTGGTTTCGAGTGGCTGATGACGGCAGTCAATATTGTTCTAGCATGGAGTTGCGATTCATCTCAGCTGCAGCTAGGTTGTGAGAAGATACAGTTGCCGATGGCACAACTCTCGTGGGTCAAAATCAATGATACATTTTGGGGTAGGTGCACCCATTTTTTCGATTTAGTGGGGATTGAATCGGATGTTTCACTGGCGGTACGATTTGGATTTTGACCCATGGCCACTTACTCGCACCAGGAATTCCGCCATCTACTTTCACCCTGGATGCTTTGAACATTTGAACTGGAGGCTGGCAAAGGCCCTGCTGAAGCCGCATGCGCGGATCTGCTGCTGCGGATGCTTGCGCAGGGCAGCCCAGGGCTTTAGGCCTGCACAGTAAAAAATCACCAGCGATGCACATATACACATCAACATGGGCGTGGTGCTGCTGGGAGTTTTTGTTGTTCCCCAGATAGCTGAAAGCTATAGGGGTTCTAACTTCTAATAAAGAGGGGAAGCTGATTTGCGAGATTGACGGTTGGGTGCTAGGGGGCGTGCAGTTGGTAGTGTTAGGGTGGGCTGTTTGTGGTGCAGGTGACGGCGGGGGCGCAGTCTGCAAGATTGACCGTAGGGTGCTATAGAGCATGCAGTTTGGGGTGCTGGTGCAGGTGCGCAGTTTTGCAAGATTGACCGGAGGGTGCTATAGGGCACGCAGTTTGGGGTGCTATTGGAGGAGCGCGGGCGCAGTAGTGGCCAGCCAGGGTGTTAGAGGTGCTGGTGTGCAATCATCCACCGGTTTTCGCTAGCTGGGGTCTATGCTGGTGTCATTTTTGTTTAAATAGGACCACCCCCCCAAGAAAGTGGTTGGTGGACATGAATCTTCACCTAAATTTGATGTCCACCAAAATATCCCCAACGATTTGTTTAACGCCTAATCCAAAACTATTGTGTAAACCCTAAGACCCTAAACTATGTGTTTAAACCCTTGGAGCCATTTGTTTAAACCCCAAACCAAACCATGTGTTTTGCCTGAACCCTAAACTATTTGCCCCCCAATTTGATGTTCACACCCATATCGGTGACTCAGTGACTCATTTTCTGCGGCCCATGTCTGCTGTCTGCTGCTGGGAGCGCCAGGCTGGATCCAGGGGAGCGGCTCAGTGCAGAGGAGGCGCTGTCCGGTGCTCAGCGCGTGCAGCGACCTGTGGCGCTTTGGGCTTGCCCTTCCCTTGGCTTGCTTCATGTGGTGGCTCAAAATTTTTAAGAGGTGAAATTACGCAGGTGAGAGTGATTGGTTCTATTTACCCAGGCCACAGCCATGTGGGCAGATTGTTCTGGCTCCAACTGCGGGAAAACTGAATTCATCGACTTACTATGAGCCACCACACACCAGACGCCACACCTTCATCGCGGACGGAGGCGACGGTGAGAAGGCGCTCTTGGCTTCAGTTTGAATGACTGTGCCGGTGCTTTCATTCACTTCGGAATGTTTGCCTTTTGTTCGAGACTTGCACTGTTGGCTCACCATTGGCAAAGCTGGGTCGCATCGTCTCCCGTGAGGCACCAATTCCCCCCAAGACCTCTGAGCTGCGGTACCTAGGCGGGGGCATTGAGCATTCAGGTTGCTCACAGATGCGGCTTGGGGACAGGCCCTTGAGTCATTGAGATAGGACAGATGACTGATGCTTCTGGCCAAGAGCTGGCACTGGCTCAGGGAGAGACTGATACTTCCATTGGCGTCTTCTTTGCAAATCATCGCTCACCCTTATGTTGGAACGGCCAGGAGCAGGGGGTAGCACTCAGCACTGGTTAATTTGAACTGGCACGGCTGCATACTGTGGATGGACGAAATTCTGCATCACCTAAGAAGCCCTGGAATGATGGTTCCCCTGTAAATACCAACAAACAATGGTTTTTGATGGTTTCAAAGTGGTGCAATAATTTCGTCCATCTACAGTACGTCCACACACTATGTGATAATATAGGCTTGCGCAGTGGGCATTTTGTTTTCCGACAAACTTGAGTGGTGTTCCCGTGGGACATTTGGTGGGGCCTGTTGGCGAAGCGCTCTCCTTAGTGGAACCCGAGAAGCTCCTCCCCCTGCCAGGTGCAAGCTGAGGACACGCGGCCTTCTTTCCGTGAGGAGTGCTTGCTGAGTGAAATTCCAGCGCGCCGGAACCTCTGCGGCGTGTCCCGCAAGAACACGGAGCCTCCGTTTTCGCAGAGTTAGGAGAGCTGGCCTTCCAGAGAACAGCTGGATGGAAGCAAGTGCGCTTGATGGGCGGCGACTGGTTTGCATGTCAGGCACGGTGTACTTCTGTTTCTGAGAGATTGCCTTTCGATTTGGATGCTTCCTTCCTAAGATGTGCCGTAGGCAAGCTAGGCCGCCGGGACCGCGGTTTGTAGATGTTGCGTTGTCATGCAGTTCCAGCGAGCAGCAAAAACAATCCTCAAGCGATGCCTGCTGAACTACTAGATGCTACGTAGCTGTTTGCACCAAAGCACAACAAGAAAGCAAGAAAGAACAGGGTCAGGTGCTTGCGCTATTTGCACTTTCGCTTCCCAGCTGAAGTTGGAGCTGGCTCCCCTTGCCAGGCAACAGAAGATCTCCCCGGATGTGGTCACGGGCGCCATGGAGAAGTATGGCCTGAAGCTCGTAGGGCTCTCAGCCCGCGTTAAGCCGAACTGCATTTGGCTGGGTCAAAACCAATGGGATTCTATTTTGGGGTAGGTGCACCACCCATTTTAGAACCTATTTTAGTGGGGATTGGGATGTTCACTGGGGGTACGATTTGGATTTTGACCCATTGCCATTTGCTTGTCATTCTCAGAATGCAGGGCCAATTCAAGCAACCTGGATACCAAGAACTCGCCCATGCATCACTGGTTTGCCAGGAATCCGGCATGTTGCATGTGGTGAGACTCGGGTCAACTCACGAAATCACTGCCGCATTGGACAAGTTGTGTGCCTAGGACAGACCAGACATTTGTATGGACCACGAGCTGTCGTGAGCCCGTCAGCCCAGCTAGAGCTTTTAGTTGGCACAACACCGTGGCTGCAGATTGGTGGCTGTAGCTTTGTGCAAGGGTCGAAGAGGTCAGGCAGCGCATGTGAAAGCTTTTACAGGGGTTGGAAGGGAGGGGTTCTGACGGTGTGCCCGCATCAGGAGTTCTGAAGACTCACATGTCAAATTAGTTTCCGTGCTCTCGTGGCAGGCGCGCTTCCGCGATTGAGGGGATGGCCAGCGTGGCCGGTTTTAAGATTGCCAAGTCCAGATCCGAGTGATGTCCAAGTGCTGGCGGTGGTTTTCCATGCTGCAATCGTGAACGTAGGGGTGCTGGCAAGTGCCCACAAAGCCGAACAGCAGCTTGTCGACACCTTGGGAAGGACTTACATGAATTCTGATTGAATGCGTGCGAATGAGATGCGACAGACGACGTTGTTCCATTTTGTTTGCTTTCCTCGAGATTGGGCATGCATTCGGTTATGTGCGCGCATTCAGTCCTAACAGCTTCTCTAGCTGACCGGATCAGGAGGTACGAGTGGAGCCCGGGTTGTTCCCATTGTTTCAGGTACAGGGCGAATGAAAAAGAGCGAATCTGCTTGGATCAAATAGGAATTGACAAGCTTTCGGCCGACACAGATGTTTCAAGCTTGACTGACACGGAACTTGAGCTACATGCTCTCCCAGTGCACCACCCAGGTCGGGGCCAAGGCTAGGTTATCCCGGAAAAGCATCCGTGCTTCTGTGTTAGCAGAATCTACGTCACATGTCACCATTCATAGCATGACGTGTCAGACCAACTTTTCACAGTGCTTGCGTTATTTGGCATTGGTGTATCGCACTCATTGCATCCCCCTCGTGACAAAGTTGCTTGAGCTGGTCCGTTGAGATGAATGGAGGACATCCTCTGAACAACTTTTGCACGTCAAATCTCGTACCAGATGAACAAACAGACTCCGAAGCCACCAGAGAGAGACCGGGGAACCTGCAGCCCGAACAAGAACCTTTCGATTTCTCTCTGGCTCCAGTGCGGTGGAACCGCTACACATTCGCCAAGCCTTTGTCATGAAGGACAAGTATGCAACACATATTTTAGAGAACTCTTAAATTGTGTCTCATCGAAACTCACCAGCTGTTTGTTTCCCAAGGCGGCCATACATTGAGACTCCCAGAGAATGAGGGGCTTCTGCACTTGAGCTGTGTATCGAACGTTCGACCTCCTGTGCTGTGCCATCCCCGAACGATCACCTTACAGGCTGATGCCTTTTAATGCCGCGGCATTCTTGGACTGTACCACATGTTTGTAGAGAGCGGGGCTGACCATGTCTGACTGCTTCGCTCGCCTTGGCTCAGATGCTACAAAGGATAGAAGCAAGATTGTGCCATAGAACGGATGCTTCAGTGCACCCTGAGAGCTCTGTAGGCAGACAGAACTCTTCAAGTGTCCAGGCTGACAAGGCAGCTTGAAATGGAGCGTGAGAATCCTCACCCGACTAGTCTGAATGCCCAGCAAGGATTCTTCATGCCGCGTGAAGTTTCAGGCGTCCTGGTGACTGGAGACCGCTCAATCCTCACCTATGTAAAGCGCCTTGCAGGCACTGGAGGACTCAAGGTGAGGGGTCAGGGGATGGAAAGCAAGTTGAAGGGACACCAAGCTTGCGCAGTCGCTGGTTTCTGAATATTCCTACTTGCTAGGCGTATAGAGCGGAACCCCAGAATTGCCCCACTAGACCAGTAGGGCATAATGGCTTGCGCTTGCATTTGTCTTCAAAGCCGGTAGTCGATGAGGAGGAATGCGAGATAGCAGGAGAACTGACTGGGGAGACCTTCTGGGTTGGCCGGTATCTGCAAGGGTTGTGACCATCGCTTTCTCGTTGTGCTTCTCAGCTGTTTCGCATGTAACACCCTGAGACCCGGCTTTTAGCCAAGCGATGCCCAAGCAAATACCACGCGATACAATCCAGAGAATCGCGCGCGATGGCATCCAAAGGGATTTCTTTTCACCACTGTCGGATGATACAAGCACTTGCCACCTTCCAAGGTTCTGTTTGCATCAAGCTCACACTTCTCTCCATACTCGCGACTGCACCAGATGCATCAGCAACAATCAGACTTGACACCAGGACGTTGTGGAGGGCACAGCCCTGCTTTTAGCCGGACTTTGTTGTGCAGTACCGGTGGTACCTGCCAGCCCTGCTTTGAAACGGGTGTTTGGCCACGGGTCCCACGGCATTTCTCCTTCGGGGACCCATGGCATGCCAGGCTGCGAGTTGAAACGAGGCCGCCGGGGTGTAGCTATCGACACGCTGAGGCACTGCAACGCGCGGGCCGAGGCGAAGGGTTCAGCTCTTGTCCGCCTGTTGGTCTCGGGTCCAAGTGGCGAGCTTGCCATGATGAAACACGCCCGTAGAGAAATTTTAATGGTTTGGGGTTGGTTTGCGAATTGATTTGGGCAGATGCATGGACAAGTATTGTTAAAGACTTGCAAATGTTAGACTGCTCCCTGTGACTTCTATGAGCTGCCACTGCCAATTTGGATTTGACATAGTTTGCATCCAGGAACCATGTTCCTCAGGCGCGCGTGTGTGTGTGTGTGTGTTGTGTGTGTGTGTGTGTGCGTGTGTCGCCAGGTGGACACTCTCAATCTGGATGAGAAACACTTGTTCTGCTCTGGCGGAAAGGCGCGAGATGGAAAGCCGAGAAGACTCATGATGCGGAAATCGCAATCTAAGTGTTGGCTTGGTCGAAGTGTGGACATGTCAGAGACAAGTGGCCGGGAGACTCGCTCACCTGTCAGTCTGCAGTCTGCCTGCATGATTATCGTCTCTTTCTTGTGTAACGCTGCCCACTGCTGGATTCACAGACTGACTGGTCAAATGGCAGTACCATTTCTGAGCTGGATGTGCAAGGATTCCCAATGCAGACATCATTGCAGGACTTGAACAAGTGGCTGGACGAAAAGGTTGACTCCTTCGTCGCTCGCAATATGCTCCTCAGTTGCACTGCTCTCTCTGTCATGTGATTCGATATTGTGGCGTCAGCTGCCAGCAGCCTTTGTGTGCTGAGAATGGACTGTGCATGGCGCTTGAGCTATCTCAGCTGAGCTAAACATTTGACTGCTCATGTGCGGACCGAGCCCCGAGGTTGTGTCAACAGTTTGGGTTTTGACACCTTTTTTTTGTTTCTCTTTTTTTCCCGAATCCTGGCTTGCCTAAATGCAGGCTTTCTTGTGCCCAACGCCTTCATCTTTCCTGTTGGCATGGGAAGATATGGCAATGGTTCAAAACCAATGGTACCATTTTGGAATAGATGCACCACCCATGTTAGTCTATTTTAGTGGGGATTGGAATGTTCACTGGGGTACGGGGTTTTGACCCATGGCCATGTATTCCTTGCAAAGCCGATCTTGAAGCTGAAACTGTGCGGCACGCAGGCTGGAGCCTCCGGAGGACACGGTGACTTTCCAGGCGCGGGTCAGAAAGTTCCAGGCGATTCATTTGCACGTCGATCTATGTCGACACTGCGAATTTTCAGCTCGTCCTCTTTTTGGAAGCACGTGTTGAACTGCAAGCTTTGGAAAGCGCCGCTGACGGGAACATTGGCCCAACGCCAGGGAGCAGCCAAGGGGAAAGGAAAGCAGCGGGGGTGTGGCCGGCTCCGCTTTTGAGTGTGGCAAGTGAGTGATTGACCAACCCTGTGACAAGCCATCGATTTCATGATTGCTTGTGGTCTAGCTTTGGGTGAGGTGGGGCAGTTGCCACCGACTCACACCTTGCCAGTGCATATTCAAGCAGTCCGGTGTGTGTGTGTGTGGGTGGGTGCGCGTGTGGAGAATGGAGCCTACAGCCTTCTTTTGAGTTAGTCGCTTGCCAGGCAGAAGCGTGCTGCGTCCTTCCAGGGTGAGAGGGACCAAACCGACGGGCGAGAATAGCGTTGCAGACAAAAGTTTGACTGCTAATGATGACTGGGGTCATCTGCTATCTTGCTAGGGCATTGAAGCATAGCCACTCACACCTTTACTTCAGCTGCTCCCTCCACAGGCCTTATCCTTGACATGCTCATTGAACATCAACGATGCATCATCGCTTTGCATATTCATAGATGCAGCGAGTGCTTTTTGTTTGTTTGTTTGTTTGTTTGTTTGTTTGTTTGACGAGCCCACTGTACAGATGGATGGATACTTTGGTTTTGCGCCCAATGTTTGTGCTGGCCGACCCATCTTGGCTCGATGACGCGATTGAAGGGCTGCGGTCAGTTCAATCAGTTGAGGTAAGCTAGACACTCATGTTTGCTTTCAGGCAAGGCTTTTCAACCAGCAACACATCAGCACATCAGAACACCAACCAAACGTTTCCAGCCAGATCTTAGCCATCTGTGGACAGGCATCGGGTTTCAGAAGGACCTTCGAGCCGGCCGATGTCAGTCTTCGAGCCTGTGACGCTGTGGGCACCTCAGAGTGGACGCCACGCAGGCGGTCGGACGGGTCTGCCGTGGCATCTTAATCGGGGTCGCATCCATCTCTCGCAAAGGGAGACGATGAAAACTCGCTTTGCTACGTATTCGGAGCATCGCCTTGTCCCTTCGGCACTGCTGCAGCTGAGCGAGTCAGCTGTGTTGCGCCTTTCGATTCGCTTGAGGCCTGCTGAGCTGAAGGCGGAGATCCGTCAGCTTGCAGAGGAGCTCGGCCTCAAGGCGCGGGCGATCTTTCCGCTGCTTGCCGTCGGGCGTAGCTCGGGGTGTGCTTGCGGTCCCGAAAGCGGCCGGGTGACTGGAGAGACCATTTTATGCACGGTTTTGTTGAACCGGGAGCTATGCATGCATCGCAGTTCTCAATTCCGTCGCTGCGCGCTGAGTTCTAGCAGACACCAAACTGACAAAGGCCTTGACGTTGTCATGGCTACCGATTGTTTTTAGGGAATCCACATGGCTGCAGCTCAAAAAACTGGTACCTCCTGTTTGATTTTGAGCCACACCATGCTGTGCAGGTGGCTGCGGCAGAGGGCCAAGAGGCAAGCTGAGTCACCGCGTCGCGAAAATGCGAAACAGGAAGCACAGCCGTTTTTCGCGACGAAGACCATGCCGCAAACAGGTCATGTGGCTGTGGGTCAAAAATAGGTACCCCAAATGGAACCCTAGTAAGTGGAAACATGGACCAAAACCTGCGGTTCCCTGGTGGTTTAATTTTGACCAAGATCCATGTGTTTGCACCACGGTCTTGTAGGTTGACGCATTGAACTGTTTGGGCACATTCAATTCACCTGCCCGCGATCCTGTTGTGGTTGGATAACTTTTTCAAAAAGGTCGGTACAAGGGACACATATTGGCAAATTGGAGTGGAATAGGGTCCAACACCCCCCAAAAAAAAGCGAAGGCAATAGGATTTTGGCGGCTCAAATTTGAATCACCCATCCATGTGCCAGATGTGTTTTTGTGGTTGGCCCAGTTTTGACCATCTTTTTGAATCGCCACTGCTTGACCTCGATGTTTTTCCGCCAGTTTCAGGCCCCAGACTTTGGGAGCTCTGAGCCGCTGCGGCTGGCGCCGCAGGCAGAGGGTTCAGCAAGTGGTTTGCACCGGGCACTGAGCGGTTTGGACCCGAAGCCGGATTTCCGTGCCCCGATTTTTTTTGTTGGGATTCGGATTCGGATCGCGCGCAGTCAAGAATGTTTGGTAGCTTTCAAGTTGTCAACTTGAATTGCTGGCCCTTTCAACCCTCATGAGACAAAGCAACTGGAAACGCTGTCATGAGACTGGCAGGTGCACATCAAAAGCAGCTACCACCGGAGAGCCATCCACGGCGAGCTGAGGAAAGGGCAAGTTGTTTTGTGCAAGCCTTCGGACTGGACATTGGGGGGTGTCTTTTTGTTGAGGGTACCTCTTGGTTTTGGTGGTTCCACAGGGAAACCAAAAGGAAACCTCCGCCATGTTTGGGAGGTCTCCCGATAAAGACAAGGGGACATCCGCAATTTGCCCCAGATTGATACTGTAGGATTTGTTGCCCATGCTCGCAGAAGCTCTTGGCACTGAACAGGCCCTCAGGCTGTGGAATAAGTCAACTGAGTTGGGCTTGTATCACTGGACACACTCAAGGTAGCAGTGCAGGAATTGTTGAGAGGCAAACGCTACAAGTTGCAAGTCTTCTATTTCTGCTGGAGGCCTAGGCTCAATCACGTTAGTATGATGCCTATGTGCGTGCCGTGCACGGCACAATCCGTATCTCGTGGTGTGTCCCTGATTTGTTGCACACGCAGTGTGTCCATGCACGTGAGTCATTCCTTTGCAGGAACCATCCTGTGTCACCTAGCCGCTCTCCATGGGACGAGCGTCCCCTGGCAATCACAAGAGGTGCAGCATTCAATACAAGATCCCTACCTCAATTTGGCATTCTATGTTGGAGGACTCAGCCTGGTTTCACTGTAGTTGCAAGGAAGTGGCACTGCCAACTCATCAACTAAAATGGATCACAATCGATACGTCCTGGCAAAAGCAAGTTGCTTGCAGGTAAGCGTTTAGACAGACGGAGCTTGGTGAAGGCAACTATGGCAACACATCAATCCTTGCATATTGCAGTGCCACGCAAGATATGAAGAGCCCAATAAGATGAAATCTCACAGCTTGCAAGCAATTCCGTAGACAGCAATTCCGTACCGAACAAACGTGGCACCAAGTGGCAGGCCAGTGCTTTTCCTCAGCCTTCGATTACCAAGGATACCCGCAGTACTGGGTCAAGCTAGACGAGGAACCGGAAGGCTGAGCTGCGCATATCTTCGTTTGAGGGTGGTGCTTCCCAGTTTCAGACAAGCCTTGCCACAGCACAAACTCAGTGTGTGCCAGGTTGCCGCGTGTTTGATTGGAGGGTTCATGCTGAGCGGCTGAGGAATGACAGGAATCGTGCTTGCATGGATTTTATTGGTTCTAGCAGGCCAGGAGCAGCGCTTTAATTTTTGGGACAAGCAGCAGGATCAGGTTGTCAAAGTCATCTTTGCGCTAAGCTTTGTTTGCACACGGAACAGTCAGAATTGGTATGACAAAAGCAGCTTTTTTTGTTCAAAGAAGCCGAAAGGCTGCTCTACCTTGGGGCATTGCTTCTACAGACGGCGCGAGACCCATCCACCATTGGCAGAGCATCAGCTCCGAGCGCTGTGCCGTGCCAGGCTTGGAGGGCAAGCTTCAACAGGCCTGGCCCAAGGTTTGAATGGAGCTGTTTGCTTCTGGGCATATGTTTGGTTCAAATAGGTTTCATATCCAAAATATGTCTAATAGCCTACACTGAAACAGCTTTCTGTTTCTCCTTTAGTTCACATTTTTGCAGATTTCCTGTTGTAAAGACCTTATACTGGGAGGACCATAGCACTGCAGGAGTTTCTGCCCGTGAAGGAGTCTGCGAACGAGTATGTTTAGTCCACGAAAGATTTGGCAAAGGCTTGCTCGTACTCTTGCATATTTGCAGACCCAACTGCCTTGTAGACAGGGAGATGTGCAGGATACTTGCATCCTTGATCCCTGCCTGTGCTGGGAGTGGTGACTGCACTATTTTGGAGCAAGTTTCGCGAAAGATCCGCAACAGCCCAGGACGGGGCAGTCCCGGGAAGCGCAAGTGGCAGGGGCGAATGATACTGCAGAAGAGGCCGCTTTCATGCAATGCGACTGCAAGACTGCGCGTGCAAGTGAGCTGAAGGGTGTGGTTACTGCGTTTGCAAGGCTAACTATTGACTGCAGCAGCAAAAATGGCTCCAGAGCGCACGCTGCAAACAAAAGGGCGTGGCAATGGAGTCGCAACACAGACCTTTCTTCTCACGAAGGCGGCATTTTCCGGAAGCTTCACTATTATCAACTGCCACAGATATTACGTGTGTATGTGTTTGTGTATTATTTATCTTTACAGAAGCCTGGACAGCGCGCTGCTCGCAGCAATCACTCCTGACGGCGATCAACAAGTCTATACATTTTCCTTCGCAACTTTGGACAGACATGTCAAGCATGCATGGCTCAACCTTTAAAGTCTTGCAGTTTTTTGCGCCAGGAGCAAAGCGAGCGAGCCGAAAGGTTTTACGACCGTCTGAGCGAGAGGCAGTGGTTGCCCATTCACGACGCCCCTGGGCAAGATGCTGTGAGATACAGGTGTCTATAGGTGTCTGAAGGGAAGCAGGACAAAAGCAGCACAGAGGCTTTGCACGGAATTCCCCAATCTTGGTGGCAGCTAGGACTGTAAGCTTGTTGACGCTTGGATCGGAGCACCAGGAATGTGGAAATCAAGAAGTATTGAGAGGCGTTCAACAGTCATGCCATTTGTTGACGCATGAAGAAGCCGCGTCATGAGCAACGGTCAGACATAGATTGAGATAGCGGGACTAACTCATACTGGCTCATACTTTTCACTTTTCCTAGTTGCTCCGGCCTCCAACTGAGGCCAAGAGCCGTGTGCTGAAAGCCATTGGCAAGGGCCTTACTCCGCCGTTTGATGCGGCAATTCATCAAATCCGGATTTTTTCCGGAATTGCCTCGTCCTGTTTACGTTGTCCCAATATGGCTCAGAACCCAACAAGAAACACATTTTAAGGCAAATCGAGGTGGCCTTCCACAAAACAAACAAACGTGTAAAGAGTCCCACGAATGTACAGATGACTACACAGAATTGGTAAGCAAAATCAAACAATTCCCTTCAAATACCTACCAGCAATCATGAAATCCAACACACAAAACAAATCAGACAATAAATACTTCAGGCAAAAGCAAAGAACACCATACATATGGTTTCGGTTCATGAAAGATCTTGCTGCTATTCATAGAATTGAGCCGTGTATCTACATGTGAAGGTTTTGTAAGGATTAGTGGCACCTCAGTTGCTTTTGGGCACTGCGTGATTGGGTGCAATTCTAAAAGGATGCAGTACATCATGCTCATGCCTTGATGCTCCCTGACTTGTGGCTGACCTCAGATGATCGTGTGTATGTTGAAGCATGCTCGTGTCATACATAGTTTACACAATATTGTCGCATCGATGTTTGTGGAGCACTGTTCACTTACTTCTTAGTCGATGCTTAGTTTCCTATTTCTAGTTTAGTCCCACTTTCGGGACTCACCCAATTCAATGTTGTACGCATGTTTGCAAAATGCGCAGACATGCACTATGGTACATCTGAGTTGTTGGCATTTCGGCTGCTCTTGAGGCAAGAATCGTGTCACCCTTGTCGCGGCCGACACGGGCTCAGGCAGGCACAGAGCGTGGAGAGAGTGAAGTCTGGGTATTTCCTGTGGTCCGGCTGATAGACTGATAGACTACTTGCATTGAATGCGCTCGCTCGGAAGATGCAGAGTAATGCAATGCGACACTGAATATCAGAGGAATTGTCCTTGCCACGCATGACTAGCGATGCAACGTAAGCTCAACGTTGAGGCCTTATTTCCAGCCTTGCAGCGTAGTGGGACCGACAACCACCAGTCACAGAACCAGCTTGCATGAAGTCTTTCCAAATTGATGTCCGGGCTTATCGCTTTACTTTCCAAACGCTTTGAGAAGCTGTTTGACTGCCCTACAAGGCACAAAATGCACAGTGCTGCCAGGTTGCTTCACTTGCGCTAGTATCTTCAGACTGTCAAGGCCATTCTTACAATATGGCTTCAGTTGGAGATGGCATCCTAACTCTTTCAGAGGGAGAGTTACACATTGTTTAAAGACTATGTCACCTTTTATCGACATAGGACCCGACAAAGCGAAACTTATTTGTCTTGCGCATTGACCTTACCAATCCGCACTGCTACTGTACGGATTGTCTCAACTAACTGGACAGTCAGAGGCGTTCGAGAGTCGTTTTGAGGACCATACTGGTAAGTCGTGGTTTTGTGTTCATTGCTTTCAATGATTGGAGTCCTAACCCCCCCCCCCCCTCCCCACAATGGGGGGGATAAGGAATCCATGAACCTTAGGCATGAGTAGGTGAGTACGTATGAACCACTGTCACAAAGCTCAAGGGGCCAGTTTGCGTTCTTCCTACAGGCCTCAGTAAGGCCTTAAGCTGAATAAGGCCCCAGTAAGGTCTCAGAAAGGACTCAATAGTGCCTGAAAATTGCTGGAAAGCGGCCATCTGCCACACTTGATGTTCAGTTCCTGTACTGCATGGTTGCGGCTTCAGTGACATAGTCTTCTCATACTTGGCGGCAACCAAGGCAAAACTGGTTTAGAGGTGTTTCCGAGTGAGCCTTAGTAGGGCCTCAGGGCTCGCAAACAGGGGGGGACCGACCTTGTTGGGAGTGAGGGGGGCAAGTAGTCTATTCAACTGATTCTCAGTTCCCTTAAAACTCGTGGTCACCGCTCACTTTCACACCCTGGGATTGTCCGAGAAGACACTGGCTCTTGGGAAATCTTTCGCTGAAGGCAAGTCCACACAAGTTCCGCAGTACATCCTGGATGAAGCCATCGCTCAAGGTGCGCAGGGCCGGCGCCGTCCGATTTCGGAATGATTAGTTGCATGAAGTGGCCTTCATGCCCGCGGATTGCTGTGATTTTAACAAAATGCTAAGGCACCGCACACCTTGGAAAGCGAGGGGGGTTTCCCTTGCTTTTGAGGGCAAGTTTGGTCTTCCTTTGGCTTTTCCTTGAAAACCCAACCAGAAGGGGGTTCTCCTCAAAAGGAGACACCCAGAAACATTTAGAGCTTTTCGATATTAGTTATTTTTAATGAATTCTATATTGACATTAAATATTTTTGACAAACCCAGATACGCTTCTTGGTTTTCCTTGAAAATCAGCCAAAAAGAAGGTTCGGGACCCTCAAACAAGACACCCACGTATGCCGCACGTCGGTCCATGGCTAAAGGCTGGGGTGCCTCCTGCCACGTGGTGTGCACCCAGCCCCGGCGCCTGGCGGCGGTGTCCTTGGCCTCGAGGCGACGGCGGCCGTCGAGCGAGGGAGCGAGGGATGCACGTGGAGGTTGGGCCCCCCCGAAAAGCTGTTTTTGCTTAATTAAGGTCAAGGTCGGGTCTAAGAACATGTGTCTTGTTTAGGGTTCGGTCCCCTTGCAAGTGGTAAAGAGATAATGGGGAAGAGCGCTCTCACAGTTCGCTTCTTCCATCCCCAGCCTATGAACAGAGAAGGCTGGGTGGGTTGGGTCTAAGGTCGCGAGTACAGAAAAGAAAAGGAAAAGGCGACCAATAGAAAGACCCAACAGATAGGGAATGAAGTGACCGCTCTCTCTCTCCGTTCCATCGCTTCTCCCGCGACAGCTAGAAATCTCTTAAAAGCCGCGAGAAGATAGGGAAGGCTTGACAGTGAGGAATCGTGTGTTTGGTCAAGCCTTAGAATGCCCGGCAAGAAAGGGATCTTAGAGAAGCCGGGCCACTCTCTTCATCATCTCTTTTCCCTTTCATTTGTTGGGGTTAATTGCCTATCATTTTGCTCGCATTTTGCTCACCATATAACCCCAACAAAGGAAAAGAGATAATGGGGAAGAGCGCTCTCACAGTTCGCTTCTTCCATGACAGGTCAGGTGTGGGCATCATGTCGGTCTGTCTTTCTTTTGAGGGCACCCTTTGTTTGGTGGTGATAATTAAAGGAAAACCAAGAGGAACATCTGTTTGGTGGTGCCAAATCAAGGCAAAACAGACCGACATGATGCCCACATTGCCTATCTCGGCTACAACGCATCATGACTACACCGTGCTCAGCGCCAGGGTGGCTTGGGAGCGTGGCGAGCGTCCTTCCCAAGCCTCCTGCGGCTATGCGCGGGTCTGTGAGAGCACTTTGTTGTTGCATGGGTGTGGCTCAAAATTCAAGAGCCAGGGTTACGCAGGTTTAGTCTTTGGTGCCAGAGTCTCCAGGTGCCATCATGGTATCTTTTTTTGAGCCACAGCCGTATCAGCACTTGCGGTTCGGGTACGCGACTACTTGGCCGTTGCACTTGAAACGACAGTCCCTACCACGAGATTCCGGGCATGCCAATGACGTATTTCGACTCGGGGCTGGAGCTGATTTGCTACAGACCGGCATGGGTCATGGCAGATTCATTTTGTTCTCAAAATGGCACACTATTTTCCGGAGGGTTCTAAGGGAATGCCAAAAGGAAAGCAGCCATCAAACTGGTCCCCCAATTTCGAGCAAGGCCCATCCTGGTACCTTTGGTGCATTTGGGTGTGGGTCAAAATCAAGCCACCAGCGGACCGCAGGTTTTGGTCCATGTTGCCACTTTCCAGGGGTTCCATTTTGGGTACCTGTTTTTGACCCACAGCCATTTGAGACCTAGGTGGTGCGCTGGGATGAGCGACCTCCCAGGCGAGATGCGCGATGGGAAAGTTGTTTCTCAGCTTGCGACGGCGATGTTCGTGTGGGGGTTTCTCAAAATGGACCCCCTTTTTGGATTGCTGTTTAAAGGGGAACCAAAAGGACACCGTTGCTGTTTTAGGGCATCCCCTTTTTTTGAGAGACACCCATATATTGATGACTCAGTGACTCAGTGACAGTTGTGCACAAGTGTCAAGGTCTTCCACCATTCCGCAGAGATCATGTCTCACATCACATGGGGCCCCACATGAGTTGAAAGGGCCGGAGCAAGAATGCTCAGGGCATGCTACAAGTTTCATTGAGGCTAGAACCATTGGCTTGCCTTGGAAGCCTTTTTGCTCGGCGAATCAATTGAGCATCGGCCAGAGTGTCTTGGTGACGATCCATTGACCCATGAAATCCTTTGCAGGCCATGGGGCTCCATTGTCTTCTGCGGCTCAGTTGCACAAACCGCTTGCAGCAGGGGAACATCCAACACATGCACCGCATGCTTTGAATGATCTTGTTGGTCTGGCAAGAGGCCTTAAGCACAGAGGCCACCATTTGGGAATCCTCTGTGTTTGCATCCGTGTATGTGTTTGTGTGTCTTTGCTTGTGCGCGACGAGGTTCTCAAACGTGTGTCTGTGCGTGCGTTGCGCTCTTGCGTGCGTGTGTCTGCGAGCCGTGCTCGCCATAGGTGGGCTTGAAGAGCAGGTTCATGAATATTATATTGTATCAACATATGAGCCACGGACAAAACACGCGTAGACCACTTTATCAAGACGGGGCACGCTTTTGAGTAACACATCCCAAAACCATGGAAAACGATGAGGTCTCCCCCAAAAACGATGACCCTTAACGAACACACGGCTCTGTAAATACGACACTTGTACTGAGAAGTTGCGATTTTCGAGCTGGAGATGCGGAAGTGTACTTCGCGTACAGCCTAGGCTTGTACTACAAAGCTGCGATTTTCGAGCTGGAGCTGCGGAAGTGTTCTTCGCGTACTAGACTTGTACTACAAAGTTGCGAATTTCGAGCTGGAGCTGCGGAAGTGTACTTCGCGTACTAGACTTGTACTACAAAGTTGCGATTTTCGAGCTGCAGAGGCGGAAGTGTACTTCGCGTACTAGACTTGTACTACAAAGTTGCGATTTTCGAGCTGGAGATGCGGAAGTGTACTTCGCGTACTAGACTTGTACTACAAAGTTGCGATTTTCGAGCTGGAGCTGCGGAAGTGTACTTCGCGTACTAGACTTGTACTACAAAGTTGCGACTTTCGAGCTGGAGCTGCGGAAGTGTACTTCGCGTACTAGACTTGTACTACAAAGTTGCGATTTTCGAGCTGGAGATGCGGAAGTGTACTTCGCGTACTAGACTTGTACTACAAAGTTGCGATTTTCGAGCTGGAGATGCGGAAGTGTACTTCGCGTACTAGACTTGTATTACAAACTTTGCGTTTAGACTTGTACGAGCTGCGGAAGTGTACTTGTACGTACTACAAAGTTTTTCGAGCTGGAGATGCGGAAGTGTACTTCGCGTACTAGACTTGTACTACAAAGTTGCGATTTTCGAGCTGGAGCTGCGGAAGTGTACTTCGCGTACTAGACTTGTACTACAAAGTTGCGATTTTAGCTGGAGATGCGGAAGTGTACTTCGCGTACTAGACTTGTACAAAGTTGCGATTTTCGAGCTGGAGATGCGGAAGTGTACTTCGCGTACTAGACTTGTACTACAAAGTTGCGACTTTCGAGCTGGAGATGCGGAAGTGTACTTCGCGTACTAGACTTGTACTACAAAGTTGCGATTTTCGAGCTGGAGATGCGGAAGTGTACTTCGCGTACTAGACTTGTAAAGTGCGGAAGTGTAGTTGCTTTTCGAGCTGGAGCTGCGGAAGTGTACTTCGTGTACTAGACTTGTACTACAAAGTTGCGATTTTCGAGCTGGAGCTGCGGAAGTGTACTTCGCGTACTAGACTTGTACTACAAAGTTGCGATTTTCGAGCTGGAGCTGCGGAAGTGTACTTCGCGTACTAGACTTGTACTACAAAGTTGCGATTTTCGAGCTGGAGCTGCGGAAGTGTACTTCGCGTACTAGACTTGTACTACAAAGTTGCGATTTTCGAGCTGGAGATGCGGAAGTGTACTTCGCGTACTAGACTTGTACTACAAAGTTGCGATTTTCGAGCTGGAGCTGCGGAAGTGTACTTCGCGTACTAGACTTGTACTACAAAGTTGCGATTTTCGAGCTGGAGCTGCGGAAGTGTACTTCGCGTACTAGACTTGTACTACAAAGTTGCGATTTTCGAGCTGGAGCTGCGGAAGTGTACTTCGCGTACTAGACTTGTACTACAAAGTTGCGATTTTCGAGCTGGAGATGCGGAAGTGTACTTCGCGTACTAGACTTGTACTACAAAGTTGCGATTTTCGAGCTGGAGATGCGGAAGTGTACTTCGCGTACTAGACTTGTACTACAAAGTTGCGATTTTCGAGCTGGAGCTGCGGAAGTGTACTTCGCGTACTAGACTTGTACTACAAAGTTGCGATTTTCGAGCTGAAGATGCGGAAGTGTACTTCGCGTACTAGACTTGTACTACAAAGTTGCGATTTTCGAGCTGGAGATGCGGAAGTGTACTTCGCGTACTAGACTTGTACTACAAAGTTGCGATTTTCGAGCTGGAGATGCGGAAGTGTACTTCGCGTACTAGACTTGTACTACAAAGTTGCGATTTTCGAGCTGGAGCTGCGGAAGTGTACTTCGCGTACTAGACTTGTACTACAAAGTTGCGATTTTCGAGCTGGAGCTGCGGAAGTGTACTTCGCGTACTAGACTTGTACTACAAAGTTGCGATTTTCGAGCTGGAGATGCGGAAGTGTACTTCGCGTACTAGACTTGTACTACAAAGTTGCGATTTTCGAGCTGGAGCTGCGGAAGTGTACTTCGCGTACTAGACTTGTACTACAAAGTTGCGATTTTCGAGCTGGAGCTGCGGAAGTGTACTTCGCGTACTAGACTTGTACTACAAAGTTGCGATTTTCGAGCTGGAGATGCGGAAGTGTACTTCGCGTACTAGACTTGTACTACAAAGTTGCGATTTTCGAGCTGGAGCTGCGGAAGTGTACTTCGCGTACTAGACTTGTACTACAAAGTTGCGATTTTCGAGCTGGAGCTGCGGAAGTGTACTTCGCGTACTAGACTTGCGCGACAAAGTTGTGATTTTTGAGCTGGAGATGCGGAAGTGTACTTCGCGTACTAGACTTGTACTGCACAGTTGCGATTTTCGAGCTGGAGATGCGGAAGTGTACTTCGCGTATTAGACTTGTACTGCCTGCCAAGTTTCGCTTTTCGAGCTGGAGCTGCGGAATTGTATTTCGCAATTTTCGGGCTGGAGCTGCGGAAGTGTACTTCGCGTACTAGACTTGTACTACAAAGTTGCGAATTTCGAGCTGGAGCTGCGGAAGTGTACTTCGCGTACTAGACTTGTGCTAGAAAGTTGCGATTTTGGAGCCGGATCTGCCAAAGTTCGAAAACACTGTAAAACGATGAGGTCTCCCCCAAAAACGATGACGTTAAAAAAAGTACTAAGGCCAAGTAAAGGGTTTCGTCCGCTCCTCATATATATATATATATATATGGCTAATATCATTCATGTCACTCGTTTCAGCTTCATGCAGGTAGTGGGCAGGTTGTCCTTCTCCTTTGTTGTCGCTCTTTGCATGCACACCTTGTGCCGTCACAACGCTGCACATTTTTGTCGGAGTCATATGTTGTTGAAGGGATCATTGTCCTTGACTCAAAGCTGCACCATGCCGGTGTGCCGTGTTATTCATCCCACTTGGTCCTACGTGTTTTTTCTTCCTCCCAATGAAGACCACCTCCCTATGTGGCCATGGGTCAAAATCCAAATCGGTTAGCCCCCAGTGAGCATCCGATTCAATCCAACCACTGAAATAGGAAGCCTCAAATGGGTGGTGAAATCACCTACCAATGGTACCACTAGTTTTGACCCACCTGCCCCAAAATGGGATCCCATTGGAAAAACCCCAAATGGGATCCCAAAACGGTTTTGACCACCACGGCCATGTGCCACTGACTGAGGCACGGTGGGCTCCTTGCTGCCGCGGCTCTCGCGGCTCGGTGCCTCCCACATCATCGTGGATGAGGCCGTACGCCGTACGCGGAGCTTTTGCAGGGTTGAATGTCTGGCACCCAATTATAGGGAGTTTCGTATTGATGGCATCTTTGAATGGGCTGGATGTGCCATCTTATCCACTTGAAGCGCAGATGCCATCAATACGAAACCCCCTAAATTCCCCCCAAAGCACATTGCCTGTTTGGCCAACTACGGATTCCGGATGTATCGCAGTATTGCAATGCGACTTCTTTCGGCTCGGCTGAGAGTGCCTCTTGCTGGCAGCATCCTTGACAATTCCATGTACAAGTTGTGGCTGCCTTGGACCTGGCAGTTTCAAACTCCTGAAAGTGTATCGGACACACCACCAATGGACCAAGCACTGTTCCCCTGGTCATGCGAGGCACACACCCGGGACATCCACACTGATCTGCTGCTCACGGTCCTTCTCGAGTGTCTTAGATCCGACAGGAGGTTGGATGTCGGAATGCCTGGTTGTGTCGGCCGCAACTGCTTGTGCGGTACCACGATTATGAACACCTGATAAAGTTCCCAACTAGCATGTGCAGCCACCAGCAGCTAATTACACAGCAATTCGGGCCACCCAGTCTTTCTGACCCTGATAAGTCCCATATGCTAAAGTGCAAAGTTTTGGTCAGTACTGATTTCAGGCCCTCCATTTCGCTCCTCTTCTATGGATGGCGTGTGTATGTTTGTGTGCTCATTGTTTGTCAAGTGCGTTCATCAATAGAGGTCGTCCTTAATTACAATGGGGACTGACCATGCAAGGGTGGTGAGTTTGCTCAGGTTCTTTTTGCTTCCCAACGAGCAGGAACGAAACCGTGTCTTGTCTCTGGCTTTCTGTTTTTCGGCATGAAATGGGTGTGGTCTTGGATGAGACTAGCTGTTAGACTGAATGGAGGCAGGATGAAAGTGGCAGTGGGGCAGACGGGAGGAAGAGCATCGAAGAAATGGGTATGGGTCAAATAGAACCACCACAAAAGCACAGGTTTGGGTCCATGTTTCCACATGTTTCCACTTACAAGGGTTTTATTTTGGGGTTACCCTATTTTGACAACCACTGCCAAATGTATTGAGCGCTCTTGTTGTCGGGCTGAGCAGATTTGATCTACGGACAGTGCCTGGGCGCAAAAGCCCGGCTGAGGCTTTTGCGCAGCTCCTCGAGCCTGAAGGTGATCGTCATGTCCGCCACACTGGACGTCACAAAGTGGCCAAGCTGCCAATGTAGCCGAAGCATTTTTTAAACAAGCCGGTGTTTGTTTAACACAAGCATTTCTGTGTTTTTGTTGACCAATTTCCAAGCTTGGCTTGTTTGCCAAGCAGGCTATGCTGTAATGCCAGCGACATCGGCTGCATCTAGTCGTTCCTATCTATGCAAACAGTGTTTTGTATGCTTTGAGAAGGGACGGCGGATGTGTTGCAACCCATTTTCCTTGTGCTCGTGGACTCGTGGGCCTTTGCCGCGCCTGAGGTGGCAGCAGCACTTTGCAGACTTCGATTGTGAGCTGGTTCAAGCGGGGGGCCGGCCCTACCAAGTCAGCACCTACTTCCTGGAGGACAGAGCATACTTTATGCGAGTTTCTTGATGTACTACCAGTTAAATCTTCAATGGACAGATGAAGTAGCTGCCCAATGCCTTTAAAACACTGTAAGAAAGGTTGGCTCATACATTGCTGGGTCCCGGATGTTCAGAGTCAAGGGACGTGCATCATGCGCAAGCTTGCCACGAACCAGCACCCCCTTAACAACGGCTGTTTCCCATGTCCAAAATCCCAAGTATTGTCCAAAAAGGGGATGCAAGGTGTTTTTTGTGGGGATTTTGCTGCAAGTACTAGGTGTTTTTGGGGGATCCCAGTGCAGTATCCCATGTTTGGCGGGTGCTGCAAGGTGCTTTTGCTTCAAAGGAAGCCGCCGCCCAGAGGTGGCCTCGCTGGGCTCGCTTCAGGACATAGTGGAGCAGCTCCGGTGGTCGCCCCGCTGCGGGAACGAACAAGAACTCGCCGGGGTGTGGTCGGAAGTGGACTGCAACAGGCGCGTTGGGTTGAGGGGGATGCCGGGGTGTTTGGGTTGGGCTTGGGTTGAGGGGTTGCGTTGATGACTGATGTCTTCCATTAGATGAAGGAATTAGATTTATGACATATTATGCACATACAAGCACATACATATATATATATATATATTACACACACACAAATGGCCTTAATGTGTAGGCTTGATTTCTTTGAGCGAGACATATATGCGGCATAGCAAAGCTAACCATGATTATGGCCCTTGCTGGTCACCAACAGTCACTATTACGTTGTAGAGGCTCTTCTTGGTATGGCTCTGTTTGGTAAGCGAACATACTTTGCGCTGTGACAGGCAAAGAAATGCAGGGGGCCTCCCCTAGCGCCGATCGCGACAAACTTTGATCTCTCAGAGTTGGGATCCAAGTGACCTCGTACTTTCAGCCGCTGGATGCTCGGAGCGCACAGAGTTTCAACATGCTGGAGAGCGTTTGGGCGGCGCTTGGCATGTTGTTGGCCTTTCAGCAAATGAGCAAGGGCAGTGCCTCTTTTTTGTTTTTCTCGTTTCATAAGGTGTGCCAGGGTGCTTTGCACCAGGGTGCTTTGCACCAGGGTGCTTCATGTTTGGCCGGCAGTCAACCTGGGTTGCAAGCAACTTCCAGCTCACTGGGTTGTATTCTTGGTGGCTCCCAGCCATCCCCTTAGCCTTTTAGATTTTGAGTGTTTAGTGGTAGCCTCCATTTAACCCACAACAAATTATTCACTTTTAGCGGGGGATCAGTGTTGACTCTCCCACCATTTGAACTGGAGATGCAGACCAGCTGAAGCATCTCAGCCCGTTCGCCTGCGGGTTGCCAGGGGCTTCATGGACCCAGTTGGACGCTTCAGCCCAGCAACTCGGCTGTCAGCAACAAAGTGCAGCAACTCCTTGTTTCGTGCTAGCGAGTCGCAAATGAACACCACACAAACATAGCACACTTTGGGGCGCTATAATCCAGCTCAGCCGACCTTGTGTCAACTCTTGCTGTAGTTGGGAATATGCGCATGAGCGTTGAGTGATTGCCAGCTACTGTGACGGTTGGGCCTCTCATGCTTGCCGGCTTGAATGACGAGGGCTTGCCTGAGCAGGTTTTGTTCCCAGTCCCGCCAGCTTGCCGCGATGCAACGACATGCGTATTTGGGTTTTTGAGTGCACCTTGCCCGGAGCTGGGCGGCTTTGCGCAGCTTCCGTGGGGGTGGTTGACAGGGACTTGAGTAATTACTTCGCTGCTGGAGTTCACAAGCATTCTTGAGCACTGCTGTTTTTCCCAGGCTGTACATGTATGTGGCTCATGACAGGTCTTTGGGTTTGACACCAAGGAGAAACTCCCGGAGCATCCTTTGTGCACGTTGGCGCTTGGACTTTCCAGATGCGAGCAGAGTGATTACCAAGGAAGAACAACACAGTGAGTATTGACTTAGCCATTCCCACACAGTTGCCAAGAGCAAGTTCCGAGAGCGCATTTCCAAGGCTACCCTGGAGACAGTGCGCTCCATCCCAGAGAACCTGATTTGCTTTCAGCTGATCGCGGATGTGTTGAAGTGGGTCGATCGAAGCCTGGTGCAAATGAACCAGTTTTGCCGAGTCAGCAGACGCAACCGGCGTCCTATGCCCATCCCCCCAAAAGATGGCTCGCCTGCCAGATAAAGTTGCCTGTACTGCGACAGAAGGTTGATGCGACCGTGCGTGAAGCATGTCCCTGCAGGCAGTGACTGCGCGTTCTGGTGGCAGCGCTGCTTGGGTTGTGTCGCAGCCAAGGATGGCCGACTTCCGGGGGCGTCGGTGGCCTCGGCACGTGCCATGATGATCGTGAACACACGATTGGATAAGCAAAGATTCGAGCAATCAAGAACCGGGGCAAGTGAAAGTTAGGGACAGACCCAACCATAAGATAGAGCCCGCTTCACGCTCTGTTGATTTATTTTAGACACAAAATACCTGGTTTTGATTGTGACGCATTTGGTTAGAGATGCGGGCACTTCCTGTTTGTCATCCAGTGCCTGCCAGGCTGCCAAAGCTTGGCTGACACTCAAGCTGGCGCCAATCCCACATGACATGCCCAACACATCTCAAACCCATTGAAGCACATATGGCAGTTCTTGAGGTGTGAAGGGAAACCCTTCAGCTTGAACTTGTGCATCACCTTCCCAGTGTTGAATCGGGAAACCGCTGGTTGACATTAGCAAGCTGTTTGCATGACAGCTAAGGTCTTGATCTTCCTTCCCGGATGGCACGAGATCGTGGCTTGATCGCGAGTTTGCGCTTGTGCCGAGGTAAGCGAGCGGCTTTGTGGTACCCTGTTGGGCGTGTCACTATAAGAGAGGCTGTCGAGTTGTTGCGAGAGGAATCCCTCCGGCTCCATCAGGAGCATGGGACAGTCCAGCCTTTTGTATTAGCTTTGTCTAAAATTGGCATTAAGCTCGTGAGTATCGCAGAGCTTCACGAATCATCACAATCGGCAGCTGCCACGCGTTCTGACTTGTGACAAAAAAAACTATCGAACCTCTTGCACTGATGCATTGCCCAGCCCAGGCTGTTTGCATGTCCCGGCTGCAGAAGGATACAGCATTGAGCTGCTTGGACCAAGTTGCTCAACGTGCATAAATTTGCCTAGAGTGGGACAGAGCCGGGTCATGTACAGATATTAGATCACATCTATGGGCTTTCTGAATTGGACCCTGTGCATGCTGCATTGTGCACGGGCTATCCAGTGCATTTGCTAATCGGTTACTACGCTCACATTTGCAGCTCAGTTGATTGCAAACGACTTTCCATTGGAACGTCTTGGGGTGGAACCTTATGCCGCAGTCAAAGGGTCATCAAGCCAGTTTTCACGCCACAGAGTATGGTTGATGCAAGCGCCGCATACATATCCCAAATAGACGTTGGTAGGCCGAGGCTGTGTGCCGATTTGTCCGCTTGTTGACGACTCCGACCATCTTGAATGTACCATGGCCGGGTTGCTAGGAATGGTCGATGCTTTAGGAGGCCAATCCAGGGATTCCCAGTCAGGGGAGCACGAACGATCATGGCCGTAACGACTTTTGGATTTCCATGACAGGCAGCTACGAGTTTGTGCCTTTGCATAGCGGCGGCCTGAGCTGAGAGAGTTCTGCACCTGCAAAAGCAGACGTGTTGTAATCGATGTTCATATGAATATCTGGCAATCTTAAAACTAAAATGCGCGCCTGCAGTGTGCTGCAAAGCTCTTTGCATCTTGATTTATTTGTCTTGGCAAGGGGAGCGGGATGGCCGTCGGTGTGAATTGTTCATTCACTGCGATCCTTGTTTGCGGCAGCTTCGAGCATTTCAGGGAAATATTTGCAAAGATTGGAGCCCTGCAAGGCACTGTCCCTCCTGCGGAGCAGTATAAAGCCTTCCACCCGCCCAAGACAGGACGCAAGGAGGGGTGGAGAGTTTGCATCGCTTGCTTCGGTTTGCAAGGAGGCCCAGGAAGGGTATTGTCGTGGTTTGCTTGTCCTGAGCAAAGTAAGGTGTGGCCTGCATGCCTGAAGACCGAAAGCGTTTTGATAAATGAGTTCAAATCCGATTTCAGACAGATCCTTGTTTCAATCTTGTCTTGCCGTTGTGTTTGTCTTCAAGGCGCCTGCCCCTTGGATCCAGACATGTTGCTTGACTTGTGCTTGTTGCTTGTGATTCTCATTCACATGTCGTCAATCTCATGGCTGCGATTTGTTGCACATGTGCCAAGTATGAGCAACATTCAATCAGCAGAGGTGTGTGCGTGTGTGCCGGGGCCATCCTTCGCAGGTGATTTTGAGCACTGACATTGCCGAGCTGCTTGACTATGGATTGTCGATTGTAAGATGCAGCACATCCAAACTTTTGCCGGTATCAACTTGTCTTGGCAGTGGCACTATAGCACTCAGGCAATCTGTTGTACGCTAATAGTTGTTGAACAAGCTATCAAAACATGATCACTGAGGACTTCAATCACTATCCCAGACATCATTTGCGTGATTGACAGCGGCCTGGCGCGGGTCAAGAAGCATGCGAACCTTGAGGCATCGCTTGCAAAGTCAAAGTGTTAGATGGTCGCGCCATCTAATTGAAATACATTGCGCAGAGCTTCCATCCTGGGGCTGGTTTGAGAACACTGAGTAGATGTTGAATACAGCAAGTCTCTTGATGTCTAAGGCCAAGGGAGCTGAGGAAACAGCTGTGTCGAATAATGCTTGTCGTCAGAGACGCAAGTAGCAGCTTGAGTTCATGTGAGTGAGTGGCGCCCCAAACCCTCATTGGCCCATTGTGGCACGCACGCCCACTCTATTTTGACACCGATGAATATTAACACATGTCAGAGATGTGTGGCTGCTGCATCATAGAACAACCTAAATATTTTCCATTTGGTTTGCTCTAGTTTAGTGCAGTATGCCTAGTCCTGGGCCATTCCATGGCACATGGCTTCTGCCCGCTCTTTGCAATTGAAAGCTCGGTGGCTTTTTCTTTGGCGGCGGGAAGTTGTTGCACACCCACCCACCCACCCACCCACCCACCCACCCACCCACCCACCCACCCACCCACCCACCCACCCACACACACACACACACACACACCCACACGCACACGCACGCGCACGCGCACGCGCACGCGCACGCGCCCACGCGCCCACGCGCCCACGCGCCCACGCGCACGCGCACAGCGCACAGCGCACACACACACACACACACACACACACACACACACACACACACACACACACACACACACACACACACACACACACACACACACACACACACACACACACACACACACACACACACACACACACACACACACACACACACACACACACACACACACACACACACACACACACACACACACACACACACACACACACACACACACACACACACACACACACACACACACACACACACACACACACACACCCGCGCGCGCGCTCCTGAGGGTCCGAATCAGGGCCTTGAAGCCCAAAAGAAGGACAACGATAGTCTCATGATTTGCGGGATCTGCCAAACTGTGGGCAGCTCCAGGCAAGCGAGGACCCGTGTTTCCCGGGTGTGGTATGAACCGCAGATTCGCAAAAAAGCCGCGCTTGGTGGGCACCCTCGGACTTCCGTTTCAGCGGAGCGGGCTAGTTTCCGAATTCTTGGCAGCTGCACCTCCGAGTTGTAAACTCATGGAATGATTGGAATGCTTGTCCGAAATACGGACAGGTAGGGTGCAGGCGCTCAAGTGGGTTAAATTAAGGCATGTTCCCTCCGCTCCAAGCATGAGCAGCTTGTGTAAAAACGTCATAGCAGCCACTGCTTGCTGGAGCATCTTTACCGGCTTCCGTCAAGTTGCTTCTCTTCCATTTGCGACTACATCGCACGCGTATCAGGGGCACGCTTCGGCCGGCGCTTGAGCATAGCTGCGCAGACAACACGAGTCAAAGTCACAGTCCTGTTCAAGTGGTAATTAAGCAGTTGGGTCCACCAAGGACCTATCACTACTGGAAATATGCTCAGTTCTTTCCAGGGGGCCCAATCAAATGGAAGAATAGAACCACATCGAATTCAAAACTCAGCACAGCCTTGGTTCAGCTTGGCCCTCGCCAGGTGGTGTGGGCCAGCCAGGCCAACCTGATGCAGCGCGCGGGCCGCGCTGGCCGTGTGCAGAGCGGCAGCTGCGTCGCTTGGCTTGGGATTCGGTCTGGGGATTGGTCTGGGGATTGCCGGCATTTGAGTCCTTGTGTGTGGATCTTCAGCGCGGCCTTGCTGTTTTCCCTCTGAGCCTTGCATCTGAACGCGCAGAGCCTTGTGCAGGACCATTTCATGGGTTCCTGCAATGCTAAGTCAGTGTCCCTTGCAGCAGGTTCAAAGCAGACTTCTGACTTCGTCTAGCAAGCAGGCAAGAAGAAAGTCAAACCTGCGGAGTAAAGAGCAGGACAGCTTGAGGAGTTTCAGGTCCAGGAAGGCTTATTGCTGGAGTTGCAGCAACAAGCAGATATAGATGAAATAGGAAGATATGTCTGCTTCTGCCAGTTTGCCGAGCTTCTCTTCCCATGCAACCAGAGGCAGACAGGTACTGCCGAAGTCGCATGCCAGGTCTATGCTTCTCCGCTTCTCCACTTCTCTATCTGCCATAGAGCTCCGAACATGAGCCACTCGGGTAAGTAAGGGGTAGGAGCCAGTCCAGCCCTTGCGATTCTTTGGTTTGGGTGGACCTCAATGCCTGGCTTCAGAGCCTTCATTGCTCTCTCCGCGCACCAGCAGAGAGCAACGCCGCGACGCAGAGCTGCAAAGAAAACACCACGGCAATCAGCAGCACAGCCCGTTCGGGCTGGCTTAAAATGACACCGGTAATGTTGTTGCAAGCTAGCTGCCTCACTCAAGTCATTTTGTTTGTCACAAAAGATCGCGTCCTGCATTGCTGGCTTCAGGTGCACTTGTTCACGCGCACCCGCTTCTCCATGCTGGATCCAGAACCCACTCCAGCCACTCAGTCTTACGATATTATGGTTGGCTTATTCCCAGTGCGGCTGGCGATTAAGGAGCTTTTCTAGTTTCCGGCTCTCGCATAGCACTTGAGGAAATGCAGCGGGTGTCTCTGGACGAGGCCGTGCTCTCCGTTTGCGATCTGGGATTGGAAACTCAGCAGGAAGAGGTTTGCAAGATTGCTCGGCCCGTTTGCTCGTGCCGTGTTTCAACTTGGAAGCCTCATCAGTCCTCTTTTCGCAGTGACTCTGCCACCCAGAATCAGCATCGGTTTTGTTTCGATCGTCCTCCGAAGATCCCGTTGTAGCTGTTTTGCATTTTTCTCAAATCACAATATAGTCAACGATTCTTGACTATCGCAATTAGGCATAAGGATCTGAGACGCAACTTAAGACGTATTCTTCTGTCATTGCGTCTCTTGGGTGCATCACGAGACGCCTGCCAAGGACTATTGCAGGAACTTGGATGCGCAAGATGTCGAAGCAGCTCATCAGCATCCCTGGCTGCTCGTGGGCCAAAGACTTTCGAAAGTGGACTTGTGGACTGGCAATTGGAAGCCTGATGAAGGGCATCGCTGGCAATCTTCTTGCAGAGGTTGCGCCAGAAACCTTGCCGACAGCTCAGGAACAATACAACCTAGAGATTCGCAGCTTTGGGATTGCACAACTCATGAGGCACAGCCCTTGCGTAATTGACTTGTGGCGCTTGTCCCGGGTTCACGACTTGCGTGTTCGGACTTGGGATTTGGGTAGCAGCACGTTGGCAGCCAGCACTGCGAGTTTTCTGTACCATGCATATCAATGCTTTTTAACAGGACTTTTTCCAATGAATCACACACTTCTGATTCCTGATTTCAAGTGGCTGCTTGGTCCAATCTGGAGGCCAAGCTTGCATTCTTGCTTTTGCCCTTCCAGTCCTGGCGCAATGTGGCCATGGGGCACAACCTATGGCTCCATTTTGGGGTGGATGAACATCCATTTGCAACCTATTTTGATGTTCACCAGGGGTTTCCTTGGTTTTGACAACCACAGCTGTGTCAATGAGTAGTCTTTGCTGGCTTCAAATGAGCCACAATCAAGACCCGGGTAGAAGGTTAGCAAGGGACAGTCCCCACCATTAGCTGCGGCCCATGTTATGACTCACATGACTGCCTTGAGGAGTGGGGCTCCTGTGCCTACGTCATGAGCTTCTTGAAGAAGGCGCCAGACCCGCCTCCGCCCAAGGACGCCCGGCGGCCCGGATGTGGTGGTCAACACCCTTTTGGGATCCCATTTTGGGCTTTCGGAGAATTCAGCACCCATTTTAGTCTATGTTGGTGGGGACTGGGATGTTCACTTTGGGTTTTTGGGTGCCACCGCCCATTTTTTGGTCACCACCAAAAGCGGCAAGTGCTGCCAGATGGCTGTGGGTGAAAACCAATGGCATCCCATTTTGGGCAAGGTGAATTCACCACCCAAATTTTAGAACCTCTTTTAGTGGTTGGACTGAATCGGATGTTCACTGGGGGCTATCCGATTTGGGTTTTGCCCCATGGCCGGATTTGTAGCGACCGCCAAGTCCGGGCATGGAAATTGCTGGCATTGGACACTCTTGTTGCGCAGCAAGTTGCTTCAGGTTGCAGTTCAGAAGTGGCTTTGCTGACAGCGGCACACGCAAGAACTGTTGAAGTGTCCTTTTCACGATAAGCACTGGGCACCATCAACAAACTTCTGGGACACGTTGCGGACCAAGATGTCAAGCAGTGAACGCAGTATATTGCCCGAATCTTCTGTTTTGCAGGATTGTCGATTGGGAGTCTCTCCCAATGGGAACACTGGGCTTTTTCTCTGTGGGGTCAGGCAAATTGAGGCCTGAGTTGGAGCGGTGCATTTAAGAGGACTTATTGTATTGGGTCCCAAATTCGGGCAGTCATTTCTCCGTGTTATTCGTAATAGTTCACTCTGCATGTAAAAGAGTTCTGCGATACGCGATATCCTGGCACCTCAGATGCATCTTGACTAGTGCAGAATCATTCTGTGCACGACGAAACGCACTGCCTGCTGGGTACTGCTGAGGTTCGGCACGCCTTTCGGGAACTCCAACACGTGGGCGCTCTCGACAAGAATGGTAGCTTGGCACACGTAGCACTTCACCGGGCAGACCATGCCAGAGCCTCTCGTTAGAATCATGATAACCATCGTTTTCAGAAGCATCGCGCAGCAGCGTGCTAGGCGATTTTTCTCCCTTCGCCTTACTTCGCCTTGCCACCATGAATTCCCCCATTCGAACGGGGGAGCCCTTGGGGTCTTGAGGCTGGCTGACTCACCTGGGAGCCTTGCTGGTGAGGCTGCCTGTCTCTCCAGGCCGAGCGTATTTATTGGGGGAGGGGTGACTCGGTACTATTCAAAGTTTGGCACTGAGCTTGCAGGGCGCAGGTCCTACTGATCCTGCCATGTGATGCTTTGTCACTCAAGGCAGCAGGCAACGGGGTTGGCAGTGGGAGCGCCGGAGAGTGAACCCGCACAATGGTACTGGCAAAATCATCGGCTCCTCGTCATGATCCTTGATTTGCGGTCAGTGAGGCGGCGCGACGCTTGGTACAGTGGCTGATATTTGCAGGTGGTTGATTGGGCCAATATGTTTCAATCCGACTCTTGCATAAGGTGAATTTTGGTAGAGGCTTCCTGTATGAAGTTGTCGTTGGGTCTCTGGGCCCTTGACTGCAAGTGACTGCGAATGTCATTCCCTCCACCTTTGGAGGATGACCGCATGTGAATCACAACATAGCGCATCAGAGGAGAGAGTGCAAAGCAAGAACAATGGGAAAGGCAAACAATGTTGAGACATGGGACCAGGTAAAACAAAACATACTAAAATTTGGCCGTGCAGGTCGAGGCCCACCTTCAAACAAGTACCCGTACATTCAAGATATCCAAAGTGTTGGTGTTACATGCGTGTGTTCTTCTTCCTCCCTTTTCTTGCCACTTGGTGTTTGTTGGGAATGTAACCCGCATCTATCACTCATTGGCGAAAGTTCAATTGCATGATGCGTGTTTGCAAGCCTGCGAGGGCCGGGTGTGTTGTGTTACTCGGGAGTACATGCAAAACAATAGATTTACAATCGTATGTATTCTGAATCCACATTCTGAGTTGCAATTCATCTATGTGTTGATCGCAAATGTGTCATCAATCCTTCTGCCTCTCTGGTTTCAGCTGGGGTTCAGCGCTTTAGCCTTTCCATTTGATTTCTTCTTCAAGTTGCAGGTCGATTTCCCAGAAGAGTTGGGTTCAGGTCTTTCGTACTTAGGTCCTCAGGGGCCTCAGGGGTTGGTCGGCCAGGCCTGGGCGCCGCCTTCTACCTGGCGTCGCTGTTGGGCTGCTCCCATTCCGCCGCCCAGGTGGCGGCCACGCTGGAGGGCCGCGAGGTTTGGGCGCGCAGACCTTCGGAGGAGCGGCCCCTGGCGGGGGGAGGTGGGGAGGTGGGGAGGCGGGGAGGCGGGGGCTTTGACGCGGGGTCACTCTGGGGGGGGGGGGTTTCCGGGGTTAGGCAGATTGAAGGGGCCGGTGAGAATGGGGGATTGAGTAGTTGAGGGAATATTCCAAGAAGTGGATAAAATCACTATTTGTTTGGGGCCACTGATGTTGACATCCACGTAGCGGACAAATTGTGGGCCGCGATCCAAGCTGATTTCTGGGGTGGCTTGTACAAGCCACCTAGACTCAAAACCGGCCCATTTTTCGATGTCAAACCAAGACAGAGCAGTGGATCGTCCAAGTAGCAAGCTATTACTTGGGCGGTCGGCTTGCTTACTATCTAGATAGGAAACATGGGGCGCTTAGTACCTCAGACAGCACACATAGCCATTTCAGCTGGCGAAGTTGGTAAGTAGTTCGCCGGTGAACATACTATCTACCCCTGGCAAACTTACAATATGTGTGCTAAGTACACCAGCTTGACTTGCTAAGTATGCCGGCGTGAACGCGTAAGTAGGCCATGGTGAACTTACGTAGCTTTAGCGGCAACGCGGAAACGCATGCATCTTTTTAAAAAAGTTGAAACCGCAAGCTTCCTAAAAATGAACATGTCATTTCCATGTGCACGGTGCTCAGCACAAACGAGCTGAAACACATGTACATGATGCCCTCTGAAAAGAAGCAGGGGTATAATATTGCCATCCTCGCCTTGTTATGCTTGGCTATATGACATGGCAGCACATGCTGGTAACTACATCAACCGACATTTCGGGGGCTTGCATTTTGATCTTGTTCCCGAAAAAAAGAGCAAGTGAGAATAAGGGAGCGTACAAAACCATCATATTTGGGCGACAAAAAATAAGAAACCCCACAATCAGTCGCCAACGCGGCTGTCACAAAAAAACTGCGCAAGACTTCTGGCCAACCTTTAAACAGAAATGCTTCGAGCAAGAAGCCTATAAAGAGTGCTGGTTATAATTAGCAAACACGTTTGCCAATTATTTTTTTCGCCCTAATTGTAGCATACTGTGGCCAAGCCGGCCCTTTGCGCCCGCCACTGCCTTGCAAGGCTGCTCAGGGGCTGGCTGCGGGCGCGGAGACAGCTCGACCACAGGGAACGGTCATACTGTTTTGCACAGCGTTATTATTGAGGGCTTTGTTGCATCTTGGGCAGTATAGGTTTAACGGCGCAAAGGCTACATAATATGGGGCCATCGTAGGAAAACAAATGTGACTTCAGCCTGTAAGACTCGCAATATCCACATCACGCACTCCGAATTACTTCCACATGTCCCAAACTTGCCGTTCTCAACCCAAGGCTATGCCGGAGGAAGTGCATAGTTGGCATTCCCAGTAGACAGTTCATTGTCATATTGAAACATATTCACATATTTATATATACACATATATATGTATATACATATGTATTTTAACACACACAGATATTCATATTCATATTCATGTTTGGAAAGAACTGTGCAAATATAGATATGTGTGCAAAATCATATTGATGTACGTATGTATAGTTTCATATATATATATATATATATATGTGCGCATCCAAATATACATTTGTACATGTTTATGAAAAAAGGATTCACTCAATATACCATCAACTCTTTTTGGGTCTCAAAACCTCTCGATTACCAACGCCAAACGCGTCAAGTGTTCAACTATTTTTAGGGCGGGGGGGGGAAGGAGCCAGTTTCTAGGCAGGCGGTGCAAAAAAGAAAGCGAAACCGACAACATGGCCTTATCTGTGCCTGGATCACACCCCATGCAAGCTCCACCATCATTACGAAGCCTTCATGATGATTGTTTGGCAACGCGGCAGACTTTGGGGGGACTGTGAAAACACATGAGTGGCCATGGCGCGCAAAGGCACGCTTCGCAGGACGTTCAGCCCTTGCACAAAGGCTCTTGCAAGCACAACTTGTTTTAGTGCCCTTCAATTAGTTGCGCACACACACACACACGCCATGCACAAACATAACTGTCCGGGTGCTTGCACATACACAACACAAGGGCAGCTGCTTGTTTTTTACGCTTGAGGTCAAGCAAAAAACAGCCAATTTCTGCTACTGTCATTGCGCATCCATGGCTAGGAACATCTGGACATGATTGGACAGAAGTTCATCTAGGTTTCGGTATATATGAAGCCATAGTGCTGTTGCTGAAGCAAATGACAGCGTCTCTACATGCCCTGAAGAAAGACACGAAACAGCAGGCGCTTGCTGAAACTACATTGTTTGCCAGCATTATATGGCTCAACGCCACACGTTGATTACAAGAGCTCGGCTGCACAAATGTACGACCCTGCCAAAGCGCACGCTAAACACTGCCTATATATTGTGCCTGCTCGCCGTCCATCCAGTTGCTTGCCAAGTGGTTAAATGCCCGAAACGACGCTGCTGCCAATTGCTCGGGCGTTTGTTGTCAGAACCGAACCAATGCTGTAAACAAACGCGCCCGAACCCGAATATATATAGGTTCAAAGCTCTTCGGTTTCAGGATTGTAAAAGCGTTTTCTGCGAAACGAAACGCGGGTGTTTTTTTTTTTGAGGGTACCCCCCAAATGGGTATAGGTTCCCTCTGGTTTCCCTTTAAAATCTATACCCTCAAAAAGAAACGTATACCCACGCGTAAACTTCTTTTGGGGTCTACATAGGGGTATACTCAGAAATGTTTTTGGTTGACCACTGTTTCTAAGGGTCCCCCGAACAAGAGACTTTGCTTGCACAACGTGCTTTGACGAGAGCGAAGCTTGGCTGGGCTAAACTGACAGCTCGCCTTGGCTGGGCTAAACTGACAGCTCGCCTTGAAAGCTTCGACGACACATACGACTGGCTTGGTTATACACCGGAAGCTCGCTTATAAAGGGCCATGCATAAAGAAGCAAAACGTGGCTGAGGTTTGAAGCCTTACCTGCGTGGCCTACGGTGACAAAACAAAAGCTCGTCACAGTTGCTGGGTCGTTCGCCGAAAGCTCGCTAATAAAGGCCCGGTATCAATGGGGCTGGGCTTGACGAACAGCTCGCCTGTACTGGGCCTATAGTGTGGCTGGGCTAGATGTCAAACACGGACTGTGCTTCACCAATACTCATTGAAAATGGCTGGGCAACAGTAGATGCTCGCCTTGAAGGAATTGAGAACACAGAGTTCATGTTCAGCAAAATTCTTGCAGGGTCTCATAATATGTCTGGCCTATATGGTATACCTCGGTCTGTGCTGAAAACAGAAGATAGCGGCGTTTCGCGAATGCCCCCCTGCAAGGCTTAATGTGGCTGGGCTGCAACAGAAGCTCGCCCGCGGGATCTTGATAAAGCACAAGCAGTGCTTCGCAAACACCTCGCCGGAACAACCTTGTGAATACAAAGCGTGGGCTTGACCAAAACATTGCCTATATGGGAAAGAGCGTCCCCCCAAAAAATGGCGGGGCCTAAAAGGGCGCCAAGAAGACTTGGCACGGTTGGGATACTCCAAGACATGAAGGTTGTACACCCTGCAGCTTTCAAGGTAAAGATGCTAAATATGGGGTACAAAATGTGAAAACCTTAGCTGGCGCAAGAGCTTGCTGAGCACATCGTGTGTTTTCACTGCGACATTGCGCACGACGGCGGCACAACAATCCTGACCTCCCCACGTTCGGAGTACACACAAGTGGAACGAATGTAGTCGAAACTGCACAACAAGGGCGTGCCACTCGGGCTGAAGGCATTTTGCCCCAAAGGCTGCCACAATTGCACGCAAGCGACATCTTGAATGCCCACTCGTGCAAAAAATAATACTTGCCCAACTTCTTTGCGCCCATCAAGATCAAGTAAGACCACATCATGGGCCGACATCAACTCCCAAGGCGCCACGTAGGCAACCTTGGATACCTGCACTTCGCTGTCGTTGTCTGCCAACATGCAACGCAAAAGGGACTTCATGGCTGGAGTGGGCTCAGAAGGGGCTTGCAACCCCGATCGGAAAGGCTGAGAATCCAGCTCCTCCAATTGCAGCCGAAGTGCGTCTACAAGCACGCTGCTTTCAAAGCTGTTGCCGCCAGAGCTCAGATTGGCGAATCGCTTCACTTCCTTGTGCTTCCTTTCGTGGGTGAAACAAGAACACAAAATTCGATGGGAACTCAGCATCCTACCCAAATGGCATGCGTAGTGGTGTTTCGGCAGATAGCGGGTATGCCCGTACGCAGCAGTGTACGAAGTCAAGTGCTTCAAGACAGACTTCTCCAGATCAGACGCGCGCGTTGTCTGCTGCTTGATTCCGATCAGAAGGTCTAGGACGGCGCACAGGTCCATGTACGACTGAATATGCGAACGCAGCGCGCTCAACTCTCCTGCGCGCGTGCGCTCATGCAGGATGAACCTTATCACGCTGAAAATGGAAAGGGCCTCCGAGGCCATGCATTTGACATCCCCGCTTTGCACTTTCGCGAAAAGCCTGCTACCAGACACACCGCGGCTGGCGATAGCAAAGGGCCAGCGAAACGTCTGCAGGCAATGGTGCAACACCGTCTGTGTAACGCCAGCGTGGCGCAGCTGTTCAAGCAGTAAGCCCATTTCGCAGTTCCACAAGCCATTGGCAATGTAAGTGTGCATCCAATCGAACATGACAACGCTTGCTGGCTGTATGTCCAGCTCTTGATCAAGCAGCAGCCCTTGTGCAACGTAGTTGTAGCCAAGGAACTGCTGCATGCGCTGAAATTGCGAGTGCGGAACCAGTGGTTGTTGTTCCCGTAAGAACTGCAAAACATCACGGATGCTGGAATCAGTGTGAAAGTCCATCAGGGTCATGTCTAAACAGTGTGAAGGTACCAAACGATTGGAGCGGTCATGGTCAGGAAGCTCGGACTTGTGGTCCACTACATTTCGGCACAAAGGGCATAACACAGTCCCAGAGGCACCCTTCCAACTCAATGCGTCCTTGAGCGCCGCCTCGTCACCGAGGAGCACAGCCACGACCGCAAAAAACA